GGTGAACTAGCCTGCCAGCTATGTCACTGTGGATTTTACTTAGCATTCAAAATGTACTGTGTCACTGTTCAAATTGAATGAGATGCTCATAATTGTTAAAGGAAATGCAGCCACCTTAGTTGTGTTGAAAAGTTGAAGCTAAGGCTGGGAACATGATTAATTTTCCAGTACTAGAGGTAGCAATGCCTAAATGTGCTCCTTTGCGTGTCCAACACTTTAATCTGAAACTTCTAAATGATGTCTACAATGCTAGCAAACAGAAATTCAGGAATAGTGCTGTGACCATTTCTCGGATGAGTAAATCAGGATATTGGGGTTTAACAGCTTGGTAAAAGTCCCTGGGGTGAATCAGATGATAATCCTAAAATTCTGGTGGCAGGTCACCTTCTCTCACAGCTGCAGGTGACATGAGGTAGTTGAAGTGCGTGAGTGTATCCGTGTCACATGCAGATTGTTCTCCATCAGCAGCTCCCAATGCAGCAGGACGGGCGGTCTGGGAGAGCTCTCCACGTGTCTGTCTGGAGTTTCTGCTTGGTAATGAGCATTCATTCATGGGCAGGGAGATCTGAAATGTCTGGCAGTCATGGCTGGAAGCTAATTCTTTGTTCATGGAGATCTGTGTTTTAATGCTGTTAATGTTTTCATTTCGTTCACTTGTTAGGGCAATAAAAGAGATTTTATTCTTGGCAGAGGGACATAACCCTCGCTGAATAAGAACCTTTGGCAGTCTAAACGTTAGCCACCCAACTGCTGAGAGGTGATGGCTGTTCCCAGCTGGTATGAGGCGAAGCAGGGAAGAAGGCAATCCCTGCTCAGGGTGCTGTTGTGGCACTGTCTGTGCTCCGGGGGGTTGTTCACACTGGGAGCCAGCCCTGTGCCTGACTGTGGAGGTGCAGTCAGGCTGCAGGCAGGAGTGGCTTACAGCCTGGAGAACACAGCTAGTCTACCTCTGAATAAATTAGCTGAGATCAGAATCGTGCCTGACATCTGGGCTTGTCTGCTGGGTCCTGGCTGCGAGGCCGCTGTGCCGCAGCTGCTGCAGCGCGGTGAGACCGCGCAGTGGGTACGGCTCCAGCTGGCACTGCAGCCACCTGATTCGAGTCATAATCCTGTTTCACACTCTGCCGAGCTTCCCCCCACAGCAGCCTCCCTGCATGGGAGGGCACGAGTCCATGGGGTAATTGAGGTTGAAGGGACCCCGGGATGTCATCTAGTCCAACGTCCCGCTTAAAGCGGGTTTGGCCATGAGGTCAGGTCAGGTTACCCAGGGTTTGTTCGGTGAAACTCTGAGTACCGAGTTCTGAAGGAATAAAAGCTAATTAAAGCTTCATGAAGCATGTCACAAGCAGGAAAGCTCACAGAGAGGGGGAGAGGGGAGGCCAGGGGAAATATGATGTTCACAGTTTGTTACAAAAGAAAGACAACACTGCAGCTGGAAAACTTTTTTTTTGCTTGCATCAGCAAGGATCTCAGTTGGGGTCTGGCAGGTAGATTTCCATCCAGAAATTGTTGTTTGCTTGGTAAGCCTAAGAAATTATTCAGACTGCTGTGACAGCGTAGGAGGATTTTTTTAATTTTACTTTTTTTTGACTGGTGACATGAAGTGTAGCTAATGCAGAGTCACTGGTATTCCTTCAGTGTGGTGAATATCACACTGCTCAAGCCTAATTGTGACACAGAATCAGCTGTGCTTTGTTGAGGTCAGCTGAAGGCCAGGACTGTTGAAAACTGGTGGGTTATACCAGGGAAAGTCTTACTTCATATGTACCTTATGCCCTTGTATTTTTTCCCTGAGTGTTTGCTGAGGCCTTCTGTCAGAGACAGGCTCAGAGAGAGGTGAAAGTTACTGTGATAGTGGCCCGTGGAATTGCCATCTTACTACTGTCTCATCAGGCACTTGTGCCTGAAGGCTCCTGCTGTGTTAAAGGCTTTTCTCTCTGCAGTAAGTAAGATCATGGGCTTTCGTCTCAGTAATTTGAAAATGGCATCATCTTAAAATACAAACTTCAAAATCTGCAGCAGGAGCAGTATTGCTTGTGCAGTGGCTCAGACTCTGAATGGGGATTTTGTGTGCAAATGATTAAACACCAATAGGTCTTACTGTCTGTTATGGCAAAGTGGAGCAGGAGGGAAAATATATGGAGAGGAAGATTGATTACATTGAAGAGAAGAAAGCAGGATTTGCATAGTTTCTGTGTTAGGACTTAATATCCACATATATCTTCAAATAAGCACAATGTAAATGTTCTCTAGGGCTTTTTCTTATGCAAGACGCTATTTATGGTTAAAGGTATGGAAGGACCCTTTCATATTAAAACTTCCTGTTCTTTTGATTTACCAAAGGTTAAGTAAAGAAAGGAAGATTAAAGGGGAAGGAAAGTCTAAATAGATTTCTGTTTCTGGAAGCAGAGACTACAAAACAGCTTTTCAAGCAGGGTATAAATTATGCTTACAAATAAGCGGCACGGTCTTTACAAGTCTTGTGTCTCAGAGCTGCTCAGAGAAGAATTTCACATGTAGAGATTTAGTTATATTTGAAGTCTCAGTTCCTAATAGGAAAGAAACCTCAAACCACTAGTTCCTGAATACAGATGGTTTTAAAAAATTGGGCAAAAACCCAACCAGCAAAACAACAACAAACAAACAAAAAAATCTGTAATACAAAACTGTTGACAAGTTTTGAATGTAATAATTTCTTTTCTAATAAATGCTGCATTTAGTTGTTAACTTCATAGATATTGTAATACTTAATATGTTTATAGCTTGTAAGGGTTATATGTGCAGAGAAAAGAATAAGATTTGTGTGCATTTTCTGCACTGAGATAGTCTTTTAAATCAGACAAATACATGTGATTGATACTAATCACAGAACAAGGGAGAAATGCCTCCCTCACTTAAAGTTGAATCAAAACTGGTATTGGAGAATGCTGAGGTGTTAGTCAAAGAGAAAGAAGTAACTGTCACGGTAGAACTTAGAAACTGACACGGTGAATCATTCATTTATTATCAAATTTTGCAAATAATTTTTTTTTTGCTTCTGTTTTGTGTTTCTTTACTCAGAGCACTCAGATCCTGTCAGATGGAATTAATTGTTAAGAGTTTTACTCCAGGCTTGCATATTGTTTGATAGTTTGTGTAGAACTGGAAGCAGCAGGCAGAAGCGTGGTACGTCTGTGAGCTGCATGTTGTCACCTTCATTCAGAAGGTGGAATTTGTCACGGGGGGGATTAAAAAAGGCTAGATTTTGCCTTAGCCCACTTCTGAAAGTTTACTTAGAAGTTTGATGTGGTTGTTTAAGTATCTTGCCTGTTTGAAGAAAATAGAGGTTGGTGCCATCCAGTTTCTATCATATAAACCATTTTCAACACACCCATCTATCTGATCACTTCACATTAAGCGGTTGTACTTAAAGGGTGAAAAAGCATTGCTTGAAGTTTAAAGACTACTCTTCCAGTATCACTAAGTGTAACTTCAAAGTTTGTAAGAAATTACTGTTCCCCAAGCATTAAACTGTGTTCATTTAAACACCTTTTTCGTCCATAACATGATCCTAGAAGGACCACTAACAGATCAACCTACCTGCTTATTTTAGGTTCCTGGAAACAAATAGATCTTCAAGTTGAAATAGGATTAGTGACCTAATGAAAATAGTAGCTTTCTGCATAGGTTGGATGGGTAGGTGTTACCCAATTTGAAACAATTACTCTTATCCAAATGCATTGTTGACACAACTAAAATTTGCATGGAACTTTGTGTTCTCCTTTCCCACTCCTGTTGAGCAGGGTAGATTTCATCCAAGAAAAGCTGGCGTGACTTTATTCTGTTTTAATAAACCAGGTTGCATCAGGAATTGAAATTACAAGGATCATACTGTAAAGATATACTAGGTAGCAATAGTGTATGGCAGCCACTGTGAAGGGTGAGATGGGAGGCAGGTGCTGCCCAGAAAATTTTAGTCTGGGGAAAAAACATTTGCAGATTGTGAAGCTGAAAATGTGCTTACATTAAATGTGTTTGTGAAGCCTTACAGTGAAGTTGCATCATGTTTTTGGGCAGATGGTCTTGGCAGAAGTAACGTGAGCTTGGACAGCAGTCCTTGGATCTGTGAGAGGAGCTGACACCAAGGAAATTCAAGGCCATAAAGTGGGGAGGAAAGGAGCTTGCCTTGCCTCTGGGCTTAGGTGTTCAGCTGAGCTGAGGGAAGAAGCGAACCCGTGGTTTGAGTGAGGTGAAGCCCTGCCTTGGTGCTGATTCATTTCAGTTTGAGGGTGGAACTGACGGGGAGTGCAGAGGGTCATGGTGCAGGGCTGGTGGTGTGGAGGGCCTTGGCTCTGTGGAGAACTGGACACTCTGAAACTGTAGACTATGGGGCTGGGGGACACGACAAATCCATTTGGGATTGGAGCTGTGCATTTGAAGGAAGGCTGGCCAAAAGGGCAATTTAAGGTCTCTAAGGATAGGATTATTCTCTGGGCTGTGAGTTGAATTTGCTTTATCCAAATTCTGTTCTTGACTCTGCTTGGGTTTTTTGGAAGTGCAGAGTAGCCCACACTGAGGGCTGTGATGTGTTTGTGTTCTGCCCTGGTGTTCTTGCAGACTGAAAACTGCTCATCTCACAAGCACAAACCGGTTTGTTTGTGAAGCTGTGCTTTTTGAGGACCTTAGGCAGAAGTGTGAAATACTGTTCCTTGCTCCTTCCCCGTGTTTCTTCTGCCACTCGAAGCAATTGTTGCCATCTGTCCTTCTGGATTTATTTCCACAGCAGCTGCTTTGGGAATCTTCGAGCCTGTATAGTCCTGTGGGTTTGTGTAGAATAGGGATCTTTTTAGTACAGAAAGAGAAGAGAGCAAGCACTAGGCTTTAATCTTAAAATGAACCTTGAAACAACAGATCTCCTAAAAGGAACACAATGCATAGGTGCAAATTAAAATTAAGGAATTTGAGAATGTGTGAAAACGAAAGGAATCATCTTCTTAATGTACTTTTTGTATTCGTCTTAGGCTTGTCAAAATGAAGAGAAGAACCATTCCACAGAAGAACTTTGCAAGTCTGAAATCCAGGAGGAACTGAAAAAGGCTAATAGCCTTCCTAGTTTGACTCCTGGAACCAAAACAGCAGATAAAGACAAGCAACCCCGAGAAGGTTTTTTTCATTTCCTTGGAAGCTTATTTAATATTGCAACAAAATCTTCTTTGGTGGAATCTAAACCCTCTACCTTCCAAGATGAACCCAACAGATGTGAAAAGGATTTACAGAACACAAATACCTTTCCAAAGGACGTGCAGCCAAAGCATCCGAAAATTGAAGAGCCTCTCTGTTCTACAGCCAGGAAAAAAGAAGATTCTGTAAATAAAGGGGATGCCACCTTAAACAACATTGGGAAAGATATCTCACAGGATCTGCGAGGAGGCTGGAAACAAGCTGCAGATACACAAAAGTAAGTTTTATGATTCATTACTAAATATGTTTATGTGTGTGCACACAGAACTGCATTGTCTGAGTTCCACTGACTGTGTGACAAATGTCTGTCATTTCTAAGGATGGTTGGAATGTCTCTGGCTTGATTTCATGCAAAACTCTAGTAGCAACTATCCTAAACAGACTTGATGATTTTTGCTTATTTGTTTTTCGCCCCCTTGTTCTTTGGGATTTTCCTGTAATGTAAAGAGGGTTATGTAAAACACTCAGTTAGCCCAAATATGGAGCATTCTGAACAGTCCTGTAATATTTCAAAATAAGCTTTTAAAAAAAAAAAGCAATTGGTGCCAAGGGCACCACTGTGTCTGAGAGTAGAAATGTGCAGACATTGGCTGTGGTCCACACTGAGAGTCAGAAAATATTTTGTGTCATAAAAATAGGTGTTAGTTTTCCGAAAACATTTTGTATCTGTTATGTTGAAAATTAGATGACATGTGGGGCAGCACGGCATAGCTTTGGAGTTAGTTATGAATGTACACCCATGGTACCTGTCCAATTCTTGATAGGTTGTTCATGGGCAGTGGGTCTGTAAGTAATGCTGAGATTTTTAATATGACCCAGAGTATTTATTTAAAATTTAAACCAAAAATAATGATTAGGGGTAACCAGTGAGCCTGTCACAGCACCCCTGCTTGCATTGCAGAATGGGAGGATGTACTGAGAAGAAACACCTGCTTTTCTTTGAAGGTTTTAAACTAATTTGAGTTGTGCTCAGTATATTTATTGGTGGCATGTGAAGTGTTTGTTTCATCTCCATATAAAAGGTCAGAGACAGCTGAAATAGCTGCTTACTGAATTCCTCTTCCATACTGGGGATGTCTCCAGCGCTCTGTCCTTACCTATTCAGCAGAATAGTTAGAAGTATTTGTCACTCACTGTCAGAATATAAATCTAGTGGCTGATCAGGATATGAACAGTGGATATGACACCTATTTAGGTGACATTAAAACACCATACGGTGCTGATTGTAGCTAACCACAGCAGTGCTCATGTTCTCATCAGCGCTCTGGTTCGGTCACTGACGTGGTTGGCTGGTTTTTATTACACGCTCTTGTCGTGGTCACACATCCAGCGCTGCTCTTTGCAAACCACTCGTTGCAGCTCAGCACCACCACTGCTTTGATCAACGCAGAAGCAAATTTCTGCTCCCCTTGGCTGTTTTCTGCAGAGGCCCAGCATTGTGTTGCTTGGGCTAGTTCTTAAAACCTGTTGGACAGGCCGTGGTGCTGCATCGATCTCTTGCTGCTATTTGCTGTTTGCACAATTTACAGCATCTCTGTTTGCTTCTTGTGAACTCTTCAGGATGATGTAGATTAATAAATGTGACATCGGGAAAAGTTTACAGAGTTTGGAAGGTGTGGGTATGAACTCACTGAGGTGACCTCTCTGCTCTGTGCAAGCGCTTTTGGGTTGGTTTTGTTTTCTTGAAGGCAAAGTTGTAGTTGGGCATTTTCAACTGACCATGTTTTGACATTGTCCTATATTGTTAGGTATATCTATCTAATCCATCTAGAGTCTTCTCAGTATAGTTCATCTGCCTCGTGGTCAAGCAAGCATAGAAATATGTATGTTGCTAGTTTGGAGGCAAAAGTAAGTTGGCCTATATAGAATGTGAAGTTTTTCTGTGGAAAATTACATTTTTAAATGGGAATTTTTTTTTTTTTTAATCGTAGCTGTTGCAAATTACAGCAAACATGAAACCAGTGTTTTTTCAAAAATACAGTGTACATTCTGTCCTTTTTGGCTCAGGGTACTAACAAGTTTGACAGTCTCTGTGTAACTTCTGTTATGTTTTTCTCTGCCTGACAGCACCATGTGAAGTGTTTTTCTGAAGCAATTAGTAAAGAGAAGCTGAAATGACAATGCAAAAGCCTAGGTTTGCACTCATTACCTTTTTAAAAAGTTTGAATCGAGGATACCTCTTTGTTTTCTTTTATGCAAGTGATTATACTGAGTTTGCTCTCTTAGTTTATAAACGTTTAAGTCATGCTGAGCAGTTTTTTCTTTTCAATACTAGCTGGCTTCCTAACTAAATATTAACTAACCAGTACTCATTTAGCAAAGTTAAGCTGTAAAAGTGCTCCTGGTTGCTCCTGGTTTGCCAGAAAGTCTTGTAGAAAGTACCCAGCAGTTGAAGTGGGTACTGAAAGCACATGGGTAGTGATGAGGAAAAGGGGGGAAATGTAGCCCAATGGAACAGGAAAGTGTGGATACCACAAAGGGAAAGGATAGTGTGAACATAATTGCTTGAAGTTTGAGTCCTAAAAGACATATGAGACGTGCTAGTGAGCCATATAAAGTCAGAGGCTCTATTGATTCCATGGATTGTTATGTTAAACTGCAATTTTAGCATTTAATGTAGAGGCAGAATGAAGCAGAGGGCTTTACGAGTCCTTAAGACCACTGTATTATTAATCTTACAACAGTTTCCTTGGCCATGAGGAGCATGTAAATGAATTTGTTACTTCTAAACTGCTGTGAAATATTACATTAGAGATTATCTGTGGTTAGTGAGGAGGTTGCAATAAGTGAAAGAGGGATGGTTGTTAGATTGCATAATCCCCACTGGGTTGTTTAAAAAAAAATAATCCAAAACCAAACAACCTTTCAGATCTAAAATACCCACCAAATAGTCTCAGATGCCTCTATTCAGACAATCTCATTAACCTCTTATCCTTAAAATATTATTTTACAAAATACAGTGGAATCAGACTGCTCTGACCTGTCAGCTGAGGTTAACTTTACCCTCAGTGGGAGGCCTGGCACTTGGTAAAGATTGAAGTTTCCAGGCCTTGAGCCAAGGAAAGTGGAATTCATGAGCTCAGTCTGTGGAGTACGTGTTTGTGAGGGACAAAATGTGTAGGTCACGTTATTCCTCTGTCACCCTGGCTGGTTGGCTCATAGGTAATTTGTACCCTAGAGGCTTCTGCTCCTTTAATCTCCGCAGTGGCAAGTGGTAGGGGAGCAGCACAGAGGACAGAACCATGATAAATTTGGCAAAGTCTCGAGACAGCCACTACTGTGGACAGTGACATCATAATTGCAGCACTGAAGATGGTGAGGAGGGTTGGGCTGGCTGAGTCTCCACTCACTGCATCCCTCAGTCTTCCATTTGTTGAAGATTTCCTCACCTTGAGGAAGCACAGAAGTGAAGTGAAGCAAGCAGTAACCTTGCAGTGTTCTGTAAAAGGTTAATGATGGAGGGGCAAGGCTGCTAAAAGATAAAATACAGTTTGAAAGTAACGCTTATTTGGCTTTAAGTGGAAAGAAAAATGCAAAGGAAGGTATTTGCTACTAAGTGTAGAAAAATCTCTTAGTTAGGTAAGGTGGCAGCTTCTGTGCAGAACAGTCCCCTGTGGCAGATTGATAAGGGTAAAAGTGAAAGGGTCATGTTTAGCCTTAGCCTTTGCACTCCTTAATGATGTTAAAACCATACCTTTGAGGATGAAATAAGCCCTAAATATAAAACTGTGGAACAGTGGGGATCACTTCTCTTAATTTCTCATTGCTGAAAGTTTACATCAGAGAGAACAAGATTTCATAAAGTAGGTGACAAATATAAGACACGGATTTGCCCCCATTACCTTTGTTTCCTATGACATCAACTTCTTTCACTTGCACATCACCGAGGAGCTGTGATTTGGCTTCAAAACTGAGACTGTTTCTCTAGGACTGCTGAGAATGGACTTGCTGCAGCACCTCCCTCTGAACCCCACAACTGCAAGGATTTTGTAAGTGTAGGCAGAAGAGGGGAGGGGCGATTTCTAAAGCAAGTGCTCCAACCATCATGTTTTTACCAGGAGCCAGGTACTAGGAATAGTTTAGTGAGATCATTGCAAGCAGTTTAGTTCAGAAAGGAGGCAGCCTCGAAGAGAAACAAATTCCAGTCTGTTTACAGTTTTACTATGCTGTGCATTACTGGGTTTTGTGAGGGGATAGGGATTTTTTATTTATTTTGAAGTCTAGTAAACCTGTTGCTACACATCTAATTGATGTGTATTAGTATTAGCAACTAGTATTTCCCACCTTGGTACTGTGAAAATATCCTACCTTTTTATTTTCCTCTGTTAGAAACACATCTGATAAAAGCATTGGTGTTTACATAGTTGTGGTTAACAGGTGTGTTTCAGAGCTTGTCATTCTCCTCTGGGTTCCTGGTCAGATGCAGGCTCGTGGTGGTAAAGAAACACGGCCCTTCATTTGTCTGGTGGATTGTTTGGTATTGTGGTTTTGACTCCCTCCGTAGCACCAGTGTTCATCTTTCCCTGGAGATGCCTTTGGCAGAAAATCAAGAGCAAGTGAATGGAAATTAAATCACTTAATTCCAAGCAATAGTCTCACCAGGTCATTCCTGAGGAACAGTGGGGAAGCTGCTGCTCCTGCATTTGTTGGAATCAAATCCATCTTGTGATCAGAGCTGTGTCCTTCTCTCTAATTGCCTACCCAGAACCTATTTTACATATGAAACCTGAACTTTTAAAACCATAAGTGTCCATCCATCTTTGGAGGAGTCTGTTGGGTGACAGCAGCAAGAGGAAAATGAGAACACTGTTGACTGCTTCTATTATAGTAATATCTGCAAAAAGATCTCCATTGCTTTTATTAAAATTGTCATTGGCTCTTAGTTGTCCTCCTGGAACATTAGCTTTGAAATTTCCTGCAGAATCAACTGTGTGCAAATCACTTTGTTCAGCAAAACTTTTGACCTTTTCAAATACACATTGTGAAGTCCCAGGACGCTGAGTTTTTCAGACTGCAGATTTAAAGCATGAAGATATCCCTTCTGGCAAAAAAAAAAAAGTTTTCTTTCATCTAAGTTGCATATAGCAACTATTCAGTTAGCCCACAGTGTCTTGGTTTTCAGTATATGTCTTTAATTTTTCCCATTTATGAATGTCTTCGATAAGAGCAGAAAACAGTTGGTTCATAAGTTGGATTCCACCAGCAGGTTTTTCAAAGGGACTTTGTTTCCAGACAAAGTTTTGTTTCCAGACAAAGTACCTTAACATAATTTTAGAAAAAGTTGTCAGTTAGGTATTCAATGGAATAAAAGCTAAGTGGAAAAAAATAAAATAAACAACAGCATAATTTAAAAATAGTCAGAGAGGGGCAGACAGGAACCACAAGAGACACACTGATGCAGATCAGTGGTTTGCAGCCTGCACATCTCTCTGGTAGCTACTTCTGTGGGGTCAGGGAGAAGAGACTGGGGGAATCATGCACATCTATGCTTGTAAAAGCAGGAGAGTGCTGGACTGGGGAGAAGATAGCTGGAAGAACGAGGGCTGAGTTAAAAATGGCCATTTCATGCACTGGGAGAGGCAGGTGTTGCTTGCATTGTGTCATTGCTGAGCTGGAGCTGTGCAGCAGTGGTGCTTTAGGGAGTGCTGGATGGCGTGCTGTGCAGATGAAACTGTGCTGCCTGGCACCTGAGATGCTCTAGAAGGCTTTAGGGACTTCCTCCATCTCTTTGGAAATGGCACAGGGCTCTCTACTCTCTGCATTGTTGTGTGGTACAAAGGTGAGGCCTGGAGGGGTTGCCATCTGGCTGGCATACACTTGGAAAAGATGCAAACAACGGAGTCTTTCTGGGTGCACTGAGATGAGGCACTGAAGGTGGTGTGGTTGGTCCTGCTCCAGGGCTTCAGAATCAACGAGACTGTTTTATAACCAATACCACTTTTGGGCAAGTTACACAAGATGTCTGTCCCATGAGATGTTAGAAGATGTTCCCCTCTCCTCCTTGAATTAGTCCCCTCTTAACTTCTTATATCTTTTTCACAATAGAAGAAACGTCTACAAGCACCTCCTTTTGACAAATGTAACGTAACTCATGTTGACGTCCTCTCTTGTTGCTGTCAAAGTCTTTTGTGAAACTGAATCAAGGCTTTATAGGGAATTGAATAGCTTCCTATGAAGATGAGAAAGAAGGGATCTCCCAGTATTTGAAATATGTGACAGAAGGCACACTGGGTTCTTTGTATATTCAGGCTTTCATCTGCATCCTCACGAGTTGGAAAAAAAAATTTGCAAAGAGTTTTTAAGGTAAGTTCTGAACTGACATATTCTTTTGGAGATCAGAAATAAAACAAGTCTCTAGTGGCACTTTTAGAAGATCTTCTGTGACACAGCCTGTTTCTAAATGTGTCTCATATGAACTTACAGCTGAATTGCTACTGCCACACAGGAACAGGGGTTTTCATTTTTTAAATATCTTGTTGTTGCATGGGGCCATTCAGATTGAAGACATTTCTCTGTGCTCTAAAAGTAAACACATTAGAACTAAAAGGTCTGTTGGCAACATTTTTGTAATAGGCTGAGCAGCAAATTCTTTACCAAAGGTCAGAGAGCCTGAAGTTGTCCTGCCTGTGGAGGAAAGGTTGGTTTGGTTTCACTGCAGAAACTCTTGGAAGAGGCCAGTGTGCAGGAGAGCAGAGCTGTTTTGGGAGACACTGGCAGAGTCCACGGGCTGAGGCTCCACGGCTGAAAGTGCTGTTACCAGTGCTAGTCAGGACTGGGGTTAAGCTCTGTAGGCCTTGGAGTCTTGCTCAGACTTCAAATTGATCAATCAGAGCAAAAAATTCCCTCAGAAGACACACAAGAGGGCAAAAAGAATTGGAAACAATGAGAAAGGTATCCACGTAAGCAGAAAGAAACTTCTGAGTACATTTTTTTTGTCTGTGTGTAATAGATGACATAATCATTTGGGGGGATTTGTGGCTCAGATCAATGTAGATGTAGAACCTAATCATGTTCTCCTTGGCAATCTTCTGTAAAATGTACCTGTTCATCCCATACCTGGATGGTTTGGATTTAACAATTGATGAGTTCACGAGAAAAATCTGAAGGCCAAGTTGGATATGAGAGACAGATGAAAGGACCTGTTCCCTGTTTCTGTTGGAGCACTGGTTCTCCCCACGTGTTTATACCTAAATTCTGAATTCTTCCCCACTGCACATCAGAGAAAATATCAACCATGAACTGAAAGACACTCGGTTAATTGTCATCAACCATTTATTCAGAGTCATATCTTGGTTTTCATGGGGATGAGTGTTTGGTATCCCTCAATACCATTTATGTGCTCACTTTGAGCATGTATCATAGCAGTTTACCTATTCAAGAATCCTTTTTTTTTTTTTTGAGAGTTGGTGCCAAACGTGTGTTTGTTTTCTTAAAGAAATTGTATCTGGATTTGGGACACTTGCAGACCACCTTTTATTTTTGATGTTGGCCAAAGTATAGAAGAGATGATGGATTTTGTAAAAGCTTAATAGTGATTATTTAAAGCAGGAAAGGTTACTTAGTAAGGTTAATTCTGAATAAGAGCATGATCAGGTCTTACATTCTTAACACTTATTTTTAGTATGACTATGACTGATGCTGAGTGAGTGTGGTGCACTATTGAGCTCAACAGATCCTTACCCTGACATTTTTAGGACCTCTGGAGCTTTAGAAAATATTTCCTAATATAGAGGAAAGTTTTCTGTGAGAAAGTGGAAAATAATGATTTTTTTTTTTCTCTACTATCCTTTATCCAACTGTGTTGTGTTTTGTTTTGTTTTGTTTTTCCACTCCGAAATGTGTATGTTTCTTTGAAGGGATGTGAATCCTGAAAAGAACCATTTTAACAAATGGGGTGTGTGATGTTTAGTAGCTGCCACTGTTGGTATCTCTGGAAACCAAACCAGTGGTATAGAAGACTAAAAGTAGGCATCTAACTTGGCAAGTGCTTGGGAGATGTGCTGTTTATACACGACTTTCCTGTTTCCTCTATAACTTAATATACCTGGCTAACAACCCCTTAATTGAGATTCTGCTGTAGACTTCATCAGAGATTACAGTGAATTTAATCCCAATATAAACTTAATTTTCAGTCTCTCTCAAAGTCTGGATTCCCATTTTCATGTATTTTGGCATTAGCCTAAAAGTACCTGACAGTGTAAAACATCCATATAAATGACTGTTTATATCTCTTTTAATGTTTATGAATATGAATAATTTCACTTTTAGTTCACTTGTACTCTTTGCATGTCCAAATATTGCACAAGGAGAAAGACTACTTGTGATTTTAAATAGTATTAATTTCCATCCTCAAAATAAAATTAGTATTGAAACAAGAATCTCGGTTCTAAAACCTTGACAGAAAAGAGATTCTATTTTTAGATTTGTAAATCCACTCATTTTTATATTCTTCTATATCTTTAGAGAGAATCCATACAGACAAGATTTGAAGTTGCAGTTACTCAATGATACTCAAATGTTTCACTTTTCTTAGTAAATTTATTTTTTATTTCTCACTTCAGTTATTTGTTCTCAACTCAAGAGCTGTAACAGCTTCTCAGCAAATGTGAACTAATGGGAAGGTGCAAAGAGCTTTTAAAAATGCTATTAAAATATTTTTTACATATTGCAATGTTTTTATATTAGAAATCAAAATCTTAGCCAACACCTTTTTTTTTCTGTTTTTTGTTTGTTTGTTTGTTGTGTTTTGTTTTGTTGTTTTTTTTTTTTTTTCTTTTTCCCAAGAGACTCTTCTGAAATGAGAATGACAATTTCCCAGACAGGTGAATGGTTACTTCCAGCCACCAGGTTAGCAGATACAGGGCAGCCTTGAAAAGGTTTCTTCTCAGTTTAGGTGGAGGCTGACTGGAGTTTAAGCACAGTCTGAGCATCTACTTTGTCCTGAGGCAGGGAATGGAAAAGCTGACAGTGACTGATTTTTGCAAGAATTCTTTAGCAGACCAAAAAATAGGGGGCAAAGAGAGAAGCATTAGAAAGAAAGGTGAGTAACTGTGCTGTCTGCTTGTTTTAAGAAAGAGGAAAAACTGCTTCTTCAGAAAATGGAAAGTGACAGGCTCTGAATTTATTCTTGGTATGATCAGAAAGAGCAGTGAGGGATCAGGATCACAGTTGTTCCATGACTGTTCTTTCATTTCTTAGTTTTTGCATTCAGTGGTTTTTACTGCTAAATTTAAGACTAATGAATGTGTAGATCTATCAACTCCTGGTTACATTTCTAGGCTTCTCATTTTAGTATTCCTTCCAGCATTCAAACAGTCTTCATGGTTACCTGATCTCCATGCACTCAATTTCCTTACTACCCTGTGGTTCAGAAAAGCATCTGCTGTTGTGTAGTTTATTTTTTTCTCCACATTTTTTGTTTCTCCTCATTCTGTTTCCTAACAATATGTTGAGAGCTTGGGTAAAAATTTAAATTTCGATTCCATATTTGAATGAACATTAGTACAGTGCATTTTCTTCAGTTTCCGTCTACAGACCTGCTTTAGTAGGACATGACATAACATCTTCACTAAAGCGTGCTCATTTCTGTCACTGAAATACTGACTTTGACATTTGTAGGTGGTAACTCTGTTGTCTGGTCGAAAACAAGTGAGGGAAGTTGGTTATAGCAACATCTATTCTTTGGTTGTAGTTTAAGTTGGCTTTTCAGTAAAAGGTGTTTATGTATCATTTGTCCTACAAACCCATATTTAGGAAGAGCAGAAGGAGTGAAAACAGCGTTGCGATTTGTGCCAACCTGTGCAGGTAAACAGTATTGTTTATATATAATCTACAGTTTAGCATAAGTTTTAAGTTTGGAGATATAATCTACAGCTTGTGTTAACCTGTATTATCATAGAACTGTTTAGATTGTCTCTCTTGTGCTGATAGTGTGATCCTTGTTCCAGGCACATGCAACGGAAGGCAGAAGCACCTGCGGTCACCTATGCAACGTATCGAGGTTCTGCAAGGATCAGGCAGCTGCTGAAGAGTCAGTCAGAAGTTACTGGGAAAGGAGAAGAAAATCCTGAGAACAGAAATGTCTCAATGGTCAAAGAAAATGGACAAATCCAAAGAACTCCGTCTCTGAAATCAGGACGCCCAGTAGAAGAAGATGGAAGAGATGAGGGTGAAGATCCCCAAGGTGATGCCGAATTAAATCCTTCTGCTCTTAGAGGGGGAAGCAAACAGTCTGGTAAAGCTCAGCACGGCTTGGGTAGAAGTAAACATGAAATAACTGCAAAGGCCACAACATCATCGACTGGACCGTGTCATGAGCCCGATTTAAGACATGAACCTGCTTTAGCTGCAGCAGAAGTTAAAAGGACATTTTCGCTTGATTCATTGTTGTCATTTAGCAATAGAAACGGTGAGATCCCGACCAATTCCACTTCCCGGGTTACTCCGTCCCTCAAAGTGAGTTCTGCAAACGACTTGACTGGAAAAGAAGATGGATTGCCAGGAGAAGCAGAAGCTCTGTTTCAGACAAACAAAAATGCCACTTTTAACTTGGATAAAGAAAAGGATTGTAGTAAAGCAGCTAATAAGGAGTCCCCAAAAGAAACACAGGATGATTGTTTACATTCATCCAAGTCAAAAAGTAAGACATTTTATGAGGAACTAGAGGTGGGTAAGGGAGGATTTTGCTTTAATCATCAACTGGAAAATCACTCGGAGCGATTGTTGGGTGTCCAGATGCTTCATTTCAGTACCATTACATTTCAGCAGGAGGCAGATCAGCAAACTGGTAGTGCAAACAAAGGCAATGATCCAAGAAAAAGTGATACACAGAAGATTGTGGCAACTGTAGAAAGAGAGCAAAATCCACAGGACTTTTCTGCTGCTGTGCTTTTACCTTTTAACGAACAACTACCCGCTTCACTTAGCGTGGAATCCAGCGGACAAAAGTGCCTGGCCACAGGTGATCTGGGGACTTCAGTGTCATCTACTGGACATGATGAAGGCAGAGTCATGGGCAGGGAGACTTGGAAAGAACTGAGTGACTTAGGGAGACCAGTGCATGTACCAAATGGACACAAGTTAATCCATGTGGAGAATTCCAGGGACACTATCACACAGCAGCATGGTTTACCTCATCTAGAGACTGAGGGTGTGGAAACAATGAAGGTTTTATCTGAGGTTGCAGTAGAAAATGTTGCCAATGTATCACCATGCCTATGTGGGTGTCAGAGTGTGAAAACTAATTTGGATGAGCTGACAGCACCTCTCTCTGTAACTTCCAAGTCTTCTGTTGAAACTGGAGGCTGTTGCTCAGCTTCCCTTCATCCGAGCTGCAAGTTCAAAAATAAAACTGTGGGGAAAAGAGAAATCAGCTTAAAAGGTTCCAGAGAGACACTTTCTCATCCTGATCTTGAATATGAGAAGAGGAAATCGTTTGAGACTGTAGATATGACCCTCTCAAAAAACTCTATTCCTGTTCACAACCTTGGTCCTGTTTCTCTTGAAACTATTGAAGGCAGTCCTACCAAGACATTTACACTCGTGGAGGATAACACTGCACCTTGCCCTTTAACCAATCATACTCCTGCTAGTTCTAAAACCAATAAGACTGGTATGACTGGGGCTGATCTTATTACTTCTGAGTGTGAAGACTGCATCTTGGAATTTACATCCCATATTTCTAAGTCACGAGAAAAAAATCTGGCAGTTTCTCGTTCTGCCTTGAGACATGAAGGAAGACCTCTGACCAACCACTCTTCTTTCACCTGTGAAAAAGGTGATGTAGGCATCACTTCTGAATCTCCACCTGTTTCTGAAAAGAGTTATAATAATTTTTCTTCCAAGAAGGAAAATGGCAATAAGCCTAGGATATCACCCACAGTACTTGATTCTTCATCTGACAGCCAAGGAAAAATGCTGCCTTCTGCCACTAACTCTGAAAATGGCCAGATTGCTGCTTCTCAACAGAACAGCTTTATTTTTGCAGTTGCAGAGTCTAGGAGAATCATCCCTGAGGGCAACATGAATGAGGGGACACCTTGCTCAGGAGACCCAAGAGCTTTGAGCCCAGCTGGTTCTCTAGAATGTGAGATTATTCCACCTATGCTTGATAGCTCTGCTGATGGGGTAAATGTAGGGGGTGTTTACATCCCCAGGCCCACTTCAGTTTCTCTGCCATCCAGAGAGGCCTCCAACCTTTCTGTTTCTGCCTTGAAGATGTCAGGCATTGCTCAGGGGAACAGTAACTCCTCCAGCCACAGAGCTCATGATGGGGCAGAGGAAGCCTTCACACACCAGGCTGACAGCAGTGTGCTGGCAGAGGCAATGCCACCACCCATCTGTCCTTTGAAACCTTTGGAAACAGCAGCCGAGCCGGCCTGTGCTGGGACTGTGTGCAGGAGTGCTGTGGGACAGGTGGGCCTTGGTGCCTGTGCACCTGCAGAGTCAGCTGGACTCTGTTCTGAGGGACAAGAACAGGCTGCACTCCGAGATGCTGCGTTGTTTAGGAAAGCTGAAGAGATTGTGCATTCGGTTTTACATTTGGCTACAGAGGAGATAATAGCAAAGCAAGCCTTTGGTGTCTGCCAGCCTTGTGGTAGCAAGGATAGTTTAGTAAACAGGGATATTCTAAATTATCAGAAAGCTGAAGCTGTACAGCTGGAAGCAGGAGAAATCCAGTCAGCTGCGCAGTCATTAAAAGATTTTAATGAGAGCAGTGGAGGAGGCTCATCTTCATTTACAGGAAATGAAAGAGTGGATACAAATAATCAAGATGAAAAGACACTCTCTTGCATCCCTGATACAATTGACCTACATAGTGCACTAGCATTAAAAGCAAAAGAAACAGTTGAGGAAGTCATTAACTCAGCCATACAAAAACTGGCATCCAGTCAGTGGCAAGGCACTGAGAGTAAAAGGCCTTCTGAAAAAGCTGAGCCTAAACCTGAGGCTGAAATGCCAAAGACTTTAAATCTGGATACAAAGTTTCCTGCCAAAACCCAGGAACCAACAGAGATGAAGGAAACTCGGGGTGTAACTGTAAACTGTGAAAAGGAAGATTGCTTAGATCCTCCTTTGCTTCCAAATAGTGTGGCAAATGGCATAGATTGGCCCCAAAGAGATGAAAAGATACCAAAAAATGCAGTTACTTGTCAAGCAAATGGATTTCTTCTCACTGGTAGTTTAGCAAGGCCAGAATCAGATCTAATGACACCGGCAAAAGAGAGGCACAAGAGAATGGTGTGTGAACATGTGGCTGCAGCAGAAATGTGTGGCACAGCTGGAACATCGGCAAGGAATAGAAAATCCGATGGATCTTTGCATTTTGTGCATAGAGATGCTGCTGTGACTGAAGAAACGCTTTTGCCATTGCAGTTAAAAGGTTCAAGCAATAGTACAAATGTGCCAGAATGCATATTACTGCCAGCTGTAAATGCTAATTTGTCATCTTTTGTGCCTGATGAAGAATCTATTGGCATGCAGAGTGAATCCAAAGATAAAAGCAGTCCTCAGGTGTCTCTGGAAAGCAGTGCAAAGGACAGTCCTTATGAGCACTGCAGAAGAGAGGCTGCAGAGGTAGGAGCTGCACAAGTAAAAGCGACCTTAGAAGATTCAAAGGCAGTGGAGAGTGAAGATGAAGTTGCAGAAGGGGCAAGTGAGAGAACAGAGGTTAATACTGGATTAGATACACAGTTCATTGTACCTGAATTGTCTGTTCCTGGAGAGGACAGCGAAGGGAAACAGTGCTTCAACACAGCCTTTGCCCAGAATAATGGGAGTCTGAAGCAGGCGAAAATGAACGATCAGGACACGGAGGGAAATGAACAACGTGAAAAAAATGGTCTGGACTGCAGTGATGACATGAAGGAATCAACAGAACTTTTGACCTCTTCTCCACTCATTGAACAGTGGGAAAACAGTTCTTTCACTATCATTTATGAAGGTGCTCTGCAGACTGAGAATAAAGCCATCTCAACTGATGACATGCAAGCCGGATCACTTCCTTCTCCTGGTTTGCCCTCAGACAATATGGACCATGCAGCGTGTGCAAGAGCCAAGAATGAGCACGAGTCAGCCTGTCCCTGTGGGCAGGACACCAAGCTGAACGGAGCCACCGATGGCCGTGGCCCGGAGTCATTTCTGAGTGTGGAGGCCAGGCGCTACAGGGTGTATCCTTTCTCGTTGTCTCCCATCTATGAAGATGACAGCTCCCAGGAGGACTTGCTTTCCACGGATGTGTCCCCGGGAAGCCGTCCTGGTGGAAAATCCAAAGATAACTCTGATCATGCTTCCGTGCTTTCCCTTCTCCAGTCAGTCTCTGAGCGCTTGCAGTTCACTACTCGGTTCAGTGAGGAAGAGGAGGAGGAGGAGGATGGAGTGGAGCAGGAAGAATCATCATATGAGGAAAATACACTTGATGCTGAGGGAGAAGAGGACTGTCTTTCCAGCCAGTGGAGAGGGAGTTTAAAAACAACCCTTCAGTCAAACGACCAAAATAGATCTTTGCTTCCTGAACCTCCTGAATCGTTTCTTCTTTCTAAAGAACAGCTTGACTCGCAGGAGCAACCAGAACAGTTTCCAGATGTGGCTTCTCCCACTCAAACACCTTGTAAATCAGCTTCAGAGAAAGCTGATGGTGCTCTAACACATCCTCCTATGAGTGTCTACTACCAGTACTTGAAATCTGCCAGCACTTGCTCTTCTGAGAAGGGGACCAGGTTTGGGAGCATTCTCCAGGATATGCTGCAGCCAAAGATTCACTGGTCTCAGGACAATGCCGTGCCAAAACTGGGAGAATTGTCAGCGGTAAGATGTCACACCACATAAAATTTATAATCAAAACGATTAGCCCAGATTCAAAATTGCCCTATTCTCCTTGCTCTCTTTTAATTAAAACTAATTCTTTCGTCGTAAAGGTAATAAAAAAGTAATTCTTTTATCAAAAGTAATTAGACCATTTCATAGTTTAAAAAAAAAAGTCTTCTCATAATGTAACTTTAAAAACATAGTGTTCTTGATTCAGCACACAGATGAAAGGGACTTAATTGTAAAACAGAATATGTGAGCAGAAAATACAGTAGAAAAATGTGCATAATAGCAAGTTTCTATAATAGCAGAGCACAGACTTAACTATGTTGAGGGCATTTCAACCTGAAGATAATGAAACTGCCTTCTGATTTCTTTCACTTCTGAGATTAATAGAGCTGTCTTGTCCAAAAAAGATACAAATATCTACTTGCTGGGCTGCTTGATTGTTTCATCACAGTGTCTTCTACAAATTAGAGCTCAGTTAGCAAGTAAGTAACATAGCTGCTTCCATAGATTAAAATTTCTTTTTTTAGTTTACTTAAAGTACTGGCAAATGAGGGTATGGAAACAGTTCTTCCAATATTTACAATTTAAAAGTGCCCCATAGTCCAAATGTTTATCTGAAGGAGTCTTTCTCTAATGTTGGGAATACTGTGTTAGAGCTATCTTCTGGCTTTTTTTCACTGGCAAGAAATGCAGTTGATTGTTTGCTGGGAAAGGGTAATACATTTGTAAAGGTCAGAACTTCCATAATAGTTTTTCCCTTCTAGCACATGTCACTTTCTGCTGTTTGATTCTGTTAAACTATTGACACCAGCTCTAAACGGCAGTGAAACAGGTCTTGGTTGTTTCTACTACTGACACTTGTGTTCTTGTGTAGGAGTAGTGGACCCGGAATAATCTGCCTGCGCTTTGTGTTGTACGTGTTAATAGTTGTTTGCCATGTCCTTTTATTTTCAGAACCTCATTGACAGGGCAAGTCTCAAATACAATCCAAGACCAGGAAAGGTAAGCAGAATTTGCCATACAAATCAATATGATACATGGAATAATTTGTTATACCAAAGTTCTTGAATGGAAGGCATCTGAAGTTATTAGTCTAGTTTTATGTGTTTTTATGTATTTATTGCATATGTTTGGACATGCTAATAATGAGAATATTTTATTAAAAATCCTGCCATTAGTCATTTTACTGTGTTCCTCAGCAATTGTTGTTTTCATTCAGTAGAGTGTTTCATAAAAGAAGAAAATGTGTAGCCTTCCAGTTGAGTGGGCACAAATTGCAGGCAAAAAATAACTGTCTCTACTCTATGTTGAAACGGGCCCTCATTCGTTGTATATTGTTTCAGATTGTTATTTATGATACTTATGGCAACAAAAGTAAACAAGAAGTTCATTCTGATGTGCCAGATACCTCATCATGGAACTTTCCCATTGGAGCATTACTTAGAATAATTAGAGGATGGTAAGAAATCCAGGTCATATTTAAATAGAACCTTTCCAAAAGACTTGCATATGCATTTCTCTTGTATTTTTATTTCTTTCATGTATGACACACGTCCGATCTGCAAGAGTGTCTTTTTCTTTCTTTATAATTAGACTGATACCAATGAAAAAAAGCATGAAACAAGGCTTCAAATGCTGCAGCACAAAAAAATAAAAATCTTGTTTCTCCTGGGAGCTAGCTTCAAACAGAAAGTTTCTAATAGAACCACAAGTAAGTTTAGAGTTCTTGCCTGAAGTGCTGAGACAGTGCAACCATACTCATGACCAGAAGCATGTGTATGCCAGAGAAAATGCTGGTTTTTTACAGCTCAGTTCCATTATACAGTGGCTGCTGCAGAAGGACCGTAAAATGAGCATTCTCAGTGCTGGGTTTAATGTAGCATTTAGAGGAATGTGGATATATCCAAGTACCTTTAAGTTTGCAGGCGTTTCTGGGTGTGCTTTGGGGAGCTGAGGCTGTGTCAGTTGTTGCAGTGAATGTTTCTGGCTGTCAGCCACGGTAACCATGCATGTCACATTTATGCAGTTTCGGGGCAGCCTTGTATGGGTTTGCATACATTGGCTGAATGTCATTATTAGTGTGTTTTATGCCTTGCATAGTACCTGCCGGAACACAACATGTTTTGATGTGGCAATTAATCTATTTGTTCTGGTAAAATTTTATTTTCTTTGTGGTTTAGCTGTGTTTTTATACAGTTGATATTTTAAATTATGTTAAAGAACTCTGTATTTTAGTTTTCAATACTGAAGTGAATGTGACTGTTGAGGGACAGCATAAGAAAGATGTGATAGTTGCCTTGACAAGAAGAGCTTATTAGTGGTCTTTCCATCAGATGTGCTGTGTAAGGACAGTGTCACCTAACAGCAACAACTCAGTTCATGATATTGTTATTACAGTTGGATTTTTTATGAGAAACCAAAGTTCCAGGGTCGAAAATATGTCCTAGAAGAAGGAGAGGCTGTGCTGGATCACCTTTGGGATCTCCCAGGCGTGAAACATCATCAAAGAAACCTCACAGTTGGTTCAATCAAACATGTAACAAAGGTACAGACTTTCTTAGTAGTGAATTGATTTTTTGGGAATGGTGTATTGCTAGCAGTGGGCAATGTGTGTATAGTGTTTCTGACAATTCAAATTAGCTATGGATCACTTTTCTCACTTTTTTTTTAGATAAATTCTAGGGCTTATGCTGTGCTAAATTTCCCTTTCTTCCTGACTTAGTGAGCAGATTGTTTATGTTTCTTTGCCTCCACCTTCACAGGACATGATGACTCCCCTCCTTTTAGATGTTTACCTGTCCAGTTATTTGAAATTAAATGGAATCAATTCATATTTTTCAAAGATTTATCTTAACCTTAAACTGTCTACTGTGTCTGTATGGCTTCTGTTTCACAGGTTAGTAGCTGGGTTTCTAATCCTCTGTGTACATTGTAGCCTCCAGAAATTACTTTTGTTCCCTCTACAGCTTTGGGCTGCCTGTAGGGTTTCCACGTGAACAAGTGGTACACCTACAGCATCTGGCTCTGCCTACAGCCACAAGTTTAAAAGGCTTTCTATTGAAAAGATAAGAATCAAATGTCTAAACCCAAAAAGAATGCATCCATTGTTATTCAGTGAATGAGGAATATATTTACCAGATCTTGTGACTTCAGAAGACTTAATGCTCTCTTGTTTAGTGTAACATTCCAGTTATTCACAGGGCAATGGCCCTTACTGTGAGCGAATTATCATTTGTATCAAAATGTGAAAGGTTTTCAGTAAAGTGGTTTCTCTGTTCTCTGCTGGAATAGAACTCACTTTAATACTGATAACCTTTTTGTCGTCAGTACAGGGGCATAATGTCATAACAATTAGAAATACTTTTTCCTTCTCTTCAAACACTTAACAGTAAATTAACTCGAAAGAAGCTGGCTGAAGGCAGGAATAATGAAGTCAACATTTATTTGAGCTAAACAAATTAAAAGCCTTTGACCAATATGTAATAGAAATATTGATCAGTACTGTGAAAGGCAACTAAATAAATAAAGGAATTGCCTGAATCCAAGGGAAGCTGGATGTGTCTTGGGCATGAAAGAAAACTCTTGAATAGGAAAGACACTGTGTTTAGCTTCATCATGCTTGATAAAAATCTTTGTAGTACAGCTAAATAGGTTTGACCTTTGTTCTTCTTCCAGTATGTGGTTCGTTTATATGGAACACAGATGGAAAGCTTTGTTACAGTGCACTAGTTCAGTAATCAACACTGTTCTTGTGTCACTTAAAGCTCTAGCAGGTGTGGTTGGTTAGGAGGGCTTTTACTGCTAGTCCGTGGAGCTGGAGGGGCGTGGATCTCACCAAGCCAGGTTTAGTCTTTTCAACCTTGATTTGTGAAAGCATCCCTCTTTTTTAGGTTGTGGAAGTACTTTCAGAATGTAGTTTACCAAAACGCTACCTTATTTATTTGTTTGTTTTGTTTTTAAATATGGGCATTGCTTTTATTTGAAAAATGGTTGTTTCTTTTTCAGGGAGCTCGTGTGTGATCTGCAGGATCACATGTTTTACTGCCACTCTCTGTCACAGGCTGGGTAGCTCAGTGGCTTTTCTGCTGACTAGTTTGGCCATGCTGGCTCTGTGTGCAGGTTTTCTGGCTTGTCTTCCAGATCTGCAAGTGGCTTTTTATGGTGCTTGTTTAATGGCTGCTCAGATGCCTTGAGTTATCAGATGTGAACATTGGCTAAATATTTGAGAAGAAAATGGCTTGCCAACAAGAGAAAAACAGATTTTTGCTAAGGAAGCTGTAGGAGGTACATTTAATATTATTTTAATTTTTTTTTTACTAACAGATTGGCTGAAAAACAGTCTACCAGTGGCTTTGTGCTCTTGATTTGGCTTCAAGCCTCCACAAAAAAGCAAAGATTGTGTTGGCTTTGGGGTTAGTTTGTGGCCTAACTGTGGATAAGCATTAGGTATATCCATGTGTATTTAATTTAAAGGAACTCGTGGGGAGGAGATTCCAAAGAAACAGATTGTGTGATCAGTAAAATGAAGACCTATCTGAAGTAATGTGGAGACTGAGTTCCACCAAGGCCAGTCAGCATGAACCTAGGCCAACAAAGTCTGCCTGGACACACAGATTCAATGCAGCTCCTGCAGCACAGTCTGTTTAGCAAATTCAGTTCTCTGGCCTGCTGCAAATGCAGTTGGAAGTCTTTTTCCATGTGTTTCTGGAAGCCCAGAGAGGGTAACTGTTATTTTTCCAAAAACCAGCTTAGAAATAAATGTTCCTGACCTTTCCTTTCTGGAGATGTTTTGCAAGATGACAGGAGATCTGAAAATAGCAGTTTATAATCACTGTCTGCAAGATGATTAGGCAGGGAATAACTGGATTCCTTATGGAGTCTCCTTAAGCAAAGGAGGGTTTGTAATGGGTTTGTTCACAGTATTACCTGGAGGGTCTGTGTTTCTTTTCTTTGTGTGGTTTGCTAGGTGAAAAGAAGTCAACAGCCACCTAACCTGGTTGCAGTGCTCTTTACTCCATTTTTGCCTGATGTGTCAGCGGGATAGTGAATGACATGAGTTTTGGCTGCCTGGGAAGGGGGTGGCAGGGCTTGGGGTCAGGTACAGTGGGGAAAACTTTCCAGTTTTGGATCTGGCCTGAAACATTGTGGTGGTAGTTTTGCATGATAATAGTTTTGCATGTGGGTATCTCATTCCAAAATCTTGACGCCTTGCTGAGGAAAGGGCCTTGGACTGAACGATCTAGTTCTCAACCTGAATGCTATCGTGTTTGTGTGGTTTTCATTTTGTTTCTGAAGATGGTGGCTTTATTAGGAATGCTAAAGAAGCCTCTGAAAGTAATGATGCCTATTAAATGTGCTCAGGCAAATATGAACATGCTAAGGCAAATATTTACCCAGCTAAAGTTTGCATGCTTGAATTGTATAAGCTAATGGCATAGTATTTGAGCATACATCTGCAAATACAGAGTGTTCATCTCATACAGTAATAATAAATGTTACCATTTTCTGCAGCCTGTGCATTAATATAGGTAAATTGAACTCAATATTTAAGGCAAAATGCATATTTGTGACTTTAAAAAATGTGCTTAGAAAATATGATGTACTTCTTGCTCAAACATTACTACCTTCAAAAATAGATATTTGAATTGGTTTTGATAAAAACCTCAGTTTACACTTTGTGAAAGAAGTTTCTGGACTTAATCTGGTACACACAAACATACTGTCACAGTGAACAGAGGGTTTTTATGACTGCCAAATCTGGTTGGAGAGAGATGGTGATAAATAGGAGAGATGTAATTATGAGTGCTTGTGCTTTACCTACTCTGCTACATTTGTCATCTCTTGAGCTGGAGCCTCATGAGCTTAAGAGTCAGGAAGAGCAGACTTGAAAAGAGAATACAGACCAGCTTTTTCCAATCTTAAATGAAAAACAAAAACAAAAGCGTCCTACTGAATTAAACATCCTCCATCTCATATTCTGTCTGAGCCCGCAGGCAGATACTTAATTTTGCTGCTTGTTTCGTCTTGTAGGTACTTCATTTCAGAATTTATCCAAAACCATTAATAATAGTAGTATTTGGGGAATTCTTATAGGTGCAGCTTCTGATTTTCTGTTTCAAGCTTTATTGTTGGATTTACAGATATCAGCCTTATCACATATCAGGTATTATTAGGGAAAATCCCCACAAACTTCAAATATTTCTCAAATGGGATTTATTAAGATACATATACATGTGAAAACTATGGGGAGATTATTTTCACTTTTTTTAAACTTGCCTAGCATTACACTTAGAATTGAGTTCCTTAGCACTTTGCCATGAAGTAGCATTGTACTAGAAAGTCCTTTTTCCAAGTTTTTCTAGTTTTGCTCATCTGAAAAGAAAAATTCTGGTATTACAGTTTTTGTTCTAAAAACAAACAGTGTGCATTGTTTGCAAGGTACAATACAGGGGAAACATGATTGTGCATGAGGGAAAGTTGCCAAAATAGTATACTGTGTTCCTTCAGGTCTTATGAGGAAAGTGAAATAACATCCTGAAGTGCATCTATTATAATTGCCAGACTTATTGCTGACAGTTAAATAGCTGCTGAAAAACACTAATCAAGAGGCAGTGGGATGTTACTCCATGAAAACCCCACTCAAAACCTCTGTAAAATAAAGAGAGCTTTAAGAACTTTTGTGCCCTGATGCTGAGTTTCTCTGCAAGCTCTCGTGCTTTACGAGTTCCTCATTGATTCATGATGTGTTTGAGTGCTGGGGAGGAAAGTATTGGCAATACATTTTATATAAATATTACTAAATGAGGATGGCTCAATAAAATCCCTGCAAATTCTAGGGAATATCATGTGTTCAAGCACGGGATCTGGCAGTGGTAAACCTTCATGTGGTAATAGAGGGTGTTGCTTTGTGTAACAGGAAAATTTCTAAAGTGTCTACTAAACAAAAGAGATTTTTTTTAATACTGATCTTTTCCTTTCTTTGTCTAAAATGCTGTAGATTTATTTAGCACGTCAGAAAATTGAACTCATATGGCTTTACACCATAGTTGGATTCATTACAGAACTTAATTATCATGGAGGGAGGGAGGTGGGAAGGTAGTAGACATTTCTAGAAAGTTCTAGTTATGTGTACTTTATACATGTCTTATTGTGTGTTATGGAAGCACTGTCTTTTTTTAAAGAAAAAAAAAAGGTCAGTATTATAATACTTGTAATAACACTTCTAATACTCCTTTACTTGGAGAGTATTTAAACTGACCTTTTCGAAAGTAGCCTGACAGGCGTGCATGCACAGTTGTTCTTTGAAAGTTCCTGGGAGGTGGAAATTTACTTCCCATAGCTTTTCTAAAAATTCCAGTCTCTGTTTTTAAGAAACTAAAATCCTTCCATCATATGAAACCTGGAGTTATGTTAGAAGGGTGAGAAGACGGGGAAAAAAATAAGGAAGCGTTACCAGTTCTTCAGGGATGGGTTCTGTGGGTATCCACACAGACATTGTTGATAAACCTTACCCTGTGATTTGTTTCCACAGGACTGTGGTGTTCCAGAGGTGGAGTTCTGCCTGGCAGCTGGAAGTGCAGAGGGGCTTCCTATCTGCATACAGGGTGCAATTCCCAATTTAGAAGAGCTGGATGTTGAGAAAAACCCTTACATAAAGGTCAAATCAGGAGTGTGAGTACTGAACCTTTTAATAGCGTTTTGCCAGCAGGTAGAGGAGTAACATCATGAGATGTTAGTCAGAAATCTGAACAATATTTGGGGAATTTCGGTACAAATCAGTTAACATACAGCAGATATTCCCAGATCCACACTTCAGCATTATGCTCTGTGGGCAATAAGTAGTGGAACCAAATTTTTGAAGGCATTTTTCCTAGTTGCTGGCAGAAGTTGTAATTCAATTTTTGAGTAGCTTTATAAATAGAAGAAGTAGCTGAGCTTTTAGTTCATTGGAGAATAGATACTGTCTCCCTAGTCACCCACCCTGTTATAACACTGTGGCTGAATAGCAGAAAATGAGTATTACATCATCCAAACATTTCTCAAGCTGCAGCCATGTCCTGACATTCTGGAGGGGGGTGATGCAACACGAGACAGGCTGCTTGGTAGCCCAGCACTTCCTGTATTGAGCAGAATAAGGCTGTTTCCTGGGTAAGTGGCCAACACTTCCCAGTTCCTGAAGTTTGGGAGTTCTGTGTTTCTTCTCAGAGGTCATTGCAGATTGCCATTAGTTCTATTAACAGAGTTTTGAGTTTACCTTTCCACGTGAGCCGAGTCTTCCTTCCAACAGTCTTACAATATGTCTGTGAAGCTTGAGGTGGTGAAGGAATTAAAACCAGAGTTTTGGTTTAGTTCTAATAGAACTGAGTATAACTTTTAATTGCCTATGATCTGTGTAGCTTTAAGAAAATCACTCTCATGTGGCTCAGTGCCTCTTCCTCCATTCCTTATTTGGTCTCCTAAGCCTGTGTCCAACTTCTACATTCAGCTTTCTTTTTCATTTAAAACAGTCTGAAGGAGTCTCAGCATTTTTAATCTTCATATTAAAATTACAATAGCTTTCCAAAGAAGTGTTGTAAATCATCATAATTTAATAACTTCCACGGAAAAAACTGAAGTGGGATTGATGTTAGAAGCCTTTTAGTTCATAAGGTGAAAATTCAATTCTCATCCTCAGTACTGACTTTTTTTGTATACTAATTATGTACCAAAACGGCTTTTTGAAGTGAGTGAGCAAATTGGTAATTTTCTTCTCTTTCATTTATATTTAGCTTTGACTGAAAAAACTATCTGAGATTTTCTTAGCAGTGATGTTGCCAGTGTATTCAACTACAGCTTTGTTTTGATGTGCAATATCTAAAGCGTTATCTAGCTCGTATGAGTTTAAAAAGGAAAATCATCTTAATAAAATCTTTGTCATCTAATTAATGAGATTAATGAGTCATTTATTCTGACTGTTATAGATGGCTTGCTTACTCAGACTTCAATTACAAGGGAGAGATGATAGTTTTGGAAGAATTCAATTTGCCGTCCGAAATTCCTTCAGCAGATGTTAAATCCCTGCGTCCCTTAAAAATGGTGAGGACTTCACAATTCCCTAATAACCATGTGCCTTCCTTTTTCTTATTGTTGCTTCCCCAGTGCTTTAGACCTAAGTATAACTTGGGTTCTAATGTTCTTTTCTTCTGGGAATGGAAGACCAGAACGGAGTTTATTACCCAGTAATTGCACAAAAATCTTGGGAGGTGCAGCTCATTTTTGTGTTAACAGACAACATGTAGATCTACATGTGAAAGAATGTGAAAGGGTATAACACATAATTCTGCTGTATACATAGCAAGCCTACAGAGAGAGAGTTTAAAAGCCATAAAGAAGTAAGACCTAATAGCAGTCTCTGTAGTCACTCAAGTGAGGTGTCTTATTCCCTCACAGAACATCATACACTAAAATTTCCAGAGAAGGTGAATTTGTTGTATTTGCTCTTTGACCATGAATATGTCAGCTTATGTTTTCTCTCTCTTCTGGTGTTTATAATTTCTTGGAGCTCCACGATCTGTGCTTAAGAAACTCATACAACAAAGCTTTAAAAGCTAATTTAAAAATTGGACAGTATAAATTGGTTTAAAAACACGTGGTAAATTATTTCCTTTATATTGCTCGTAGGCAGTGAAGGAATATTTTTAAATTGCTTTCAGCCTTACAGGCTTATCAATGCACTGATTTGTTTGTAGGTCAGGTTTATAGTGTCCTGCCCTTTTGAAATATCAAAGTATTTAAATTAGCATTTTATATGACCAGCACTGCAACTGGTGAATATAATTGCAAAGACTTCATGCTCTGATAGTACTGTAAAATATGTGGCAAAGTGTAACTTCAAGTTTAATATTCCTCCCCATCTTTTTTTTAGGGTGGACTAAAGGTACAAATGCCAATGAATGTCAAGGTAAGCACTGAGGACACTGAGAATAAAATACTAGCACATTTTAAATATAAAACCTTTATTTAAGATATTTTCTTTTTCTTGGGTATATGATGTTTGATTAAGTATTCAGTGTTTGCTGCTGAAGAAAAATTCACTAATGCTGTCCAAGTCAGTATTTCAAGAGTTGTAAAAGCAGTAGTAGTTCATTTTTCACATTAGGAGAATGTCAATTTGCTATAGTAGAATTTTAAAGCTTTCACAAAATAAAATCAGTTTTTATGACTTGGCACATTAGTCACTGTAATGGTAAAGAGGTCAGGAGAGATTTTCCCATTTAATATACCAAGTTCAAAAATAAAGAAAGGGGAAGGGAGGAAGGGTGCAGGAATTCCTTCCGATGCCCTATCCCAGTATAAGAGCTGTGAGTGAGATTATGATCCTTCTGTGAGCTGAGGAGCAGAAAGCTAATCCAGAGTTATTGCTCCTTTTCCCTCCTTTTTCTAGTTCTCCACAAAAATGGTAATGCTTTAGGTAACTTTTAATTACACAAATACATGCCCAACTCGGGAGTTTTTTTAAATATTGCAACAAATATAAATACTGCTGATAGCTGATCTGTGTGATTGGGCAGATGAGGAACCTGAAGGGGGTCATTCAAATAACTTTAGCAAAGTACAGGGAAAGACCACTTGTTTACTTTTGAAGGATTAAGCTCCATCTGTCTACCTGTAACCTGGTAGGATTCACTGCAGGCTAATATTCATTGCCCAGGCACAGGATTACAGGATATAAATCATAACCATGTAACTGGAGAGTACATTTATGTATATACAGGTGTGTGAATAAGTATCCTACTGTCTGGATACAGCCTGACAAGCCCATGTAAATCCAAATAGGGTCTCCAGCTTTCAGGGCACCCAGGAATCAGAAGGGCTGAGGAATGCAACGCTGAATTTTCTTCACAGTGATGGAGGGGGGAAAAGAGGTCTTCCACATACTGTAGCAGTACATAATCACAAACTTCAAATTGCTACTCAGGTCATTATGCAACATCATGTTTTCCAGATAATAATATATGAGAAAACCCACTTTGGAGGATGGTCCAAAGAGTTTTCAGAAAACATCACTTCTGTCCCAGCACTGTTTGCTGACCAAGAGGAGTTCCAGGAAATTGGATCAATACGTGTAATTGGTGGAGTGTAAGTATATTTCATTTCTGTTTTTATTTCTTTTAAGGGAGGAAAGCATAACTAATTGCTTAGAAGTGCTAACTAAGTGGTGATTGGAATTTTTCACAGGTAGAACGTTTCTAAAAGAAAGGAGTATATGTTTCTTTTGTCAATTATCAGCCTTGGAGACAACTACGTCTACATATGGCTTATCTCTCTAAGGGAATGTTGGAAGATAAAGCCAAATGTGTGAGAGGTGTGGAGTTAGAGTTTACCTTTGGATGCCAATAAACTGGGCCACTTTGTTCCTTAATGAAAGCATTCACACAGAGCTTTATTCATATTGCTTTATACTTCTGATAGTCTCAATTTACTGAAATGACCTTGGGTAGGTGTGGTTAGCTCTTCACTTTGGCATTTTAATATCTCTGAAACCTATAAACTGTTTTATTGTCTTAATGGTTTTCCTCTGTCACCCGTTGCATGTTGCCTGGAATTAAGAATCTCCTATTAATTTCATTTATTGAGGCATTGGATTGATTTACTGTAGCCCTGCCCCTCTCTGTGTCATGTAACACAGTCCTCAGGTGGGCTCTCTCAAGGCAGACTCAGCACCAGCTATTGTAGAGAGCTACCAGCCCTTCATGTTGTTCTTCCAGCCTCTTCCAAGACCTTCTTCTTCTGCCAAAGACCTCAGTAATAAAACAGTTTTCAGGAAATTCTGGGTTTGTTCCTTAGGGGATTTCCGTGTTACTATGTCAACATAAAGAATGAATAACATACATCCTTTCAGGCTGTCGTCAGAATCTTGTGAGCACTAAATTAAAAACAAACTTAATTGTTACTCCTCAAATAATCTCTTCATAAATGCACTGTGTATTCACTATCTGGGAAGCCTCAAGTTATTAGAAATCATTGTTCTGTCTGTTGTGGCAGCGTTTATTTTTAGTGCTGCGGTAACCTAAACAGCTGAATTAATGTAAACCAAATGGTACTAAAAGTAAAGCTTCCCTGCCTGCCAAATTTCAGTGCCAACAGAATTTGTACAGCAACCCTAATACTTACAAGGGAGCTTTGATGAAAAAAATGCTTACAAGAAAGAAGGAGGGGGGAAGCGCTTTTTCAAATTAAGCTCCATTAGAGATTTCAAAGTTGATATGGAAGCACCTTCTTTTAATTGAGCCTTATCTATTTCTTAAAAATAGTTTAAAAAGTTTTATTCCTTTTGTGCTAAAATATATTCTCTATGCAGTATACTTGATATATTCAATTTGCTTGTCTGTTTATATGCCTATGTTTTTAGATCAGAGCAGGGAACAATATAAACAGGCAAAATTCTATTCTGTTGAAATCTGTTAATTTTGCCACCAGCTCCAGCAAGGGTAGAAACTCATCGTTTATTAATCCACTGAAGATATCGACTGCTTGTTTCTTGTATTGTTGACGGTGGCTTGGAATGTTTTGGCAACTGGATGTATATCAGTCTCTGTAGTACCAAATATTGGGGTTGGGAATCTGGCTGACTGAGAGGAGGCACGTGGAGAAGTGTCCCATAAATAAGCTATTGTCAGATAGAGAATCACATGGTGGGATTTTGGTCCACAAAGAACACTTCCTGGATTGCCTGTTGTGGTTTCAAACAAGCGTTGCTTTGTTCATCAGCTGAGTTTGTGATACTCATTTTAATGGTTTTGGGATGTTCTCTTGCCCTTTCCTTTGTTCTGGAAAGCGGTGTGTGTCAGCCTTACTGACTTCTCTTTCCTTTGTTGTGCCGTAGGTGGGTTGCCTATGACAAGGAGCGCTACAAAGGCCATCAGTACTTGCTGGAGGAGGGAGATTATGAAGACAGACATTCCTGGGGGGGAACTGACAGTGTCCTCCTGTCTTTCCGGTTCCTGCAGGCTGTAAGTACTCCTGTGAATTCCACACAAATTGTGCACAGTTCTATACATAAAGAGGAAGGTTATTCTTTGTGTATGGTACAGCTGTCTTGGGCTTAGTCGTTCCATCTTTTACCTGTGTTCATTCTCATTGTCGTCCTGCTGGCTGAAGTTTAGGCTGCACTGCGTATACATTGCAGAGCAGGGGCAGGTTCTAAATAGTCTTTGTGAAGCTCATACAAAAAAAAAATGCATCGTGCAGAATTCCTTGTCTGCCTGCCAGATTTGCCAAGTGCCTCCCTTCTGCGCTTCAAGCTATTTGAATCTAAGAGAATTTTCTTAAAAGCAGTGTACAGTGTAGTTCTTTATTAAAATAAAAATAGCTTTTCAACGCAGCAGCTGTTACAAGCCTTAAAACAGCATTACCCTCTGTCTCTGTAATTTTTCTGCCAGAAAATTTTGGCAGCAAAAATAATCATGGTAAAAAAATCCCTGCTGCTAAAGTGGGTTTAGTGGAGGCAAAGATGAAATAATAATAAAAACTATCTGCAAGAGTCCAGTATTGGAAGCAAAGTTAGACTTGTTAGTGATGGGGAAACATGGTTAGAACTTCTTTATAATTTCCTTTGGTTTGGGTTTTTTTTGTTCGTTTGGAGGGTTTGAAGATTTTTTTATCATAATGGGTACTCTGTGAACTTTAAATACAGCTGTGAAGAGTGGCTCCTTTTGAGACTTAGATTGTTCACTGTGATATTACTCAGTTTTGTATACCCAGATTACTCATCTCCTCACCTGAGGAGATGTGATATTCCTGAGGCAGGAATTTTGTGAAGGTTGGAGATAGAGCAAACTCACTGTCTCAACAGTCATTACCTTTTTTAAAAAATAAAAAGTTAATGTGAACCCAAGAAGGCCATACTTTAATTCACAATTTACAGCTTTGGTTTTTATGAAAGGCACCTAGAAAAAGCTGTATTTATGATCAGAATCTATCATATATCTTAAAATAAAGATAGGAGAATAAACTGAATGGAAGAAAACTATTCTTCTCTAAATAATTTATTTTCAGATTTCTGAGAAAAAAACAGGTGGGGAATTTCTTCAGATTCTTATCTTTGAATATGCAGAATCCTGTCCAATTACTGACTAATCTTAGTTTCTCTCTATTTTCTAGCTATATGTAGGATACTAGAGCAAGTTAAATTGATCTTTTTAGGTCTTTGTCTTGGCAAAGGACGTAAATACAAGCTTAAAATTGTGTGTGTGGCTAGTAAGAGTGACGCTCCACGTACATTCATGTATTTAAGTTGACTCACACCTTGGAGAGTTGGCAAGACTCAACTCATAAACATTTTAAAAACGTGTATAATTCACAGCCATAAATCAATATCTGTCATTCAAACTGGCATATGAATATGTGTCAATATTTAATAAAATAAAAGTGTAGGGAACAATTTTCCTCAAGCTGTAGCATAACTAAGGGCAATGAGCTGCTTGCCAGTGAAATGACTAAGGGCACTGGCATTCTGTTGTTTGGCTTGACCAGCAGATTGCCTGCCTCCCTCCGATGTGCAGCACACGTGTCAATGTTCAGGCTTGCCATATGCTCCCCTTCCTGACTTTGTATATGATACTTAAGGTCAGGATTTTAAAAATATTTTAGTACTAAGCTCTTGTTTTCAAGGGGACCTGGGCAAAAATCCAAAACTAGTTCTGTGTGCATAACAGTGAATGTACGAGATCTTCTGCATAACCTCGGAAATTCCCTCAGGAGAAGCACGGTGAAGGTTGCAGTGGGGATGTTCCTGGATGTCAGAACTTTATTGCCCTTCCCTAGAATTCTGGTTTAGTCCAATGAATTTAAGATTCTCTGTAGAAGATTTAGGATTTTGTGAAGTGCCCATGCATTATCCGTGGTCAGTTTAGGTAGGGAGTGGGGTTGGGCACTGACCCTGTTCTTATACATACCCACTGCTGTGTTCTCATGTAGGGCCAGTTTAGCCAGACTTGTATTTTTTTCTGCCGGAGCATCACACCCGGTGAGCTTGGCTGTGTTGGCTTTGAGGTCAGCCCACGCCTGAAAAGAATTCAGCCTGGCTCATAGGGCTTGAAGCTGAAGCTCATGAGCCCCGCGTACCTGAGTCAGCTGCGGGCAGAGTCAGATCAGATGTCTTTGTGTGGTGCTCCCGCAGCAGGGAGTGTGGTCCAGAGGCACGTAAAGGCTCTGCAGAGAGCAGGGCACAGCATTGCTCATTAGCCTGTGTCAGTCCCAGCTCCCTCAGTGGGGCTTAGTGCTCTGCAGAGCTATTCAGATATCCCTGCACCACTACACTTGCCGTGACAGGTTCCACCAGGACCTGTTAGCAGCAGGAAAATCCAGCCTGGGTTTCTGTACACATGGCAGTGGCTGCAGTCGAGCTGAGGCAGGAATTTAATTTCCTGACAAATCTGAAAGGTCAGGCACTGCACACAAACGAGGGATTGCTGCACGTCACCCCTCCTCAGCCACTGCTGAAGATGTACACAGGCACACCGCAAGAGCTTCCCGGTTTTAGCTGTCTTATGTATTCCAAGAGCTAATGTGGGGATTTGGGGAGTGTTTGGAAAGCAGAAAGATCTTGTGGGGTTGGTTTTTTTCCAGCTACTACCAAGCTCCATGATCCACATCTATATTGACCACATCAGAGTCAAACACAGAGCCTGTTCCTGAGAGCGGGCAGCAGTTTGTGCTGGTTTGGGGGACAGTTGCATTTGCTTATTTTCTGCAGTGTCAAGTGAATGTGTGAAGCTGGGATTTGCCTATGACTGTCATGATCAGAGAAAGAGCAAAGTTTCTGAGCCTTTTCAGAATACGTTGCCTTTGGAGCTTCCCCACTAATGTTTTCAAGTCTGCAGTGATTTGCCTTGGTCTGAAAGTCTTTTCTTAAAAAAGTATTTCTCCTATTGCTTATTGTTAGAGAAACTGTAGTGGAAATTTAGGGAGGAAAGAATGATGACTGAATCTGAAACATGTTTTAAATGTAATTACAGTTGTGAATATATTTCAGTATTTTAAGTTTAGTCTAAGAAATTTTGTGTAGATTTGATCTAAATGACTTTTCAGGTACTTTTATAAAGTCTTTGCTTTAGGACTGCTAAGAGTAGCTGTTTTTCATTTTTGCTAATACTGCACCAGTTTGGTTGGTTGTTTGTTTTACAAAAAGATAGTCTGAAGCTGCAGTTGTTCATGATGGTTTTGTCAGACCTAGTACTTTAATTTCTAGTATCTGAAGTAGTTGCAACTGTTTAAATATGTTAAAGAAGGAGGTGGTCAACTTAGTAAGAAAACCAGTTTTACTACATAATTTGTTCCATCACCTTTTAGTGTCCTGTAAACAATGAAGAGATGTTGAGCTACATCAAGTGTTTGTTCTAAAGTTGGTTTTCCTAATTCATTGTGATTGTATCCTGTACAAAGACATGGTGTCCTCTAAAGAGCCCAACCGAAGGAGTTTGGCTGCATTCTTGATCTGGCCTTAATTTCCAAGTGGCTTTTGACAGCTATAAGTCTTTTTCTCAGTGTAGCCTTCGGCATACTGCTCTCTGGTTGGTAACAGTGAAATGCTACAGCAGCAAGTATTTAGCGTAATAATTCCTATGGTGGTGTCCTCATATGTTTGTGGATCTGTGTCAGCCACACTGTTTGCTTGATAGCCTTTATTTCTTGTTTGGAAGACTTGCTTAGCTTCAACTTATTATAACATGGCTGAATTTTGGAGAAACATTAAAAGTTAACATAACAAAGTTAAAGGAATAAAGTGAACAGATTGTTGTTTTCTGTTTTCCCAAGCAATGGCTGAACTGTGTGCTTAGAATTGCTAAGTGGTTAAAAAGTTGAAGATTTGAGACCCAAATTCAAATAATCTCAAGCTGTGCAAGTAATCTGGTCAGGGAGCTAAACTAGCTGATAGCAGAGAGCAGTGTCACACGGCTATGTATGAGGGAACGTGACAGTGTTAAGCAGGATTTATTTATAGCTGTAGCGATTAGTCATGCCACGGATGTACCCAAAAAGTACAAATCCCTTGTGCTCCAAAAGTGATCTTGCCCAGTCTTTTTGTCTCCATGGTTATTGCCAGGTTACTGGTAAGGGATGAGGAAGGAGAACTTGAAGTAAGAGGCTATAGTCGTGGTAATACTTGGAATAGTCATTTATGAAGTTGTTGGAAGATCAGTGCTAAATCCACAACTCTTCCCTTGCCCACATGGGCATCTTTGCATTCTCAGTCATCCTCGCAGAGAAAAGGATAGTGCTGAGGGCAGCAGGTTCCTCATCTCTTCAGTGGAAACCACTGAAGGCCATATCAGATTGCCAGGCTGCCAGTTTTTACAGAACTTCAATGCCAAAATATCCCTTTGAAGATCCACACAAGGGATCTAAGTCCCTTCACTGCTTTATGAAACGCTGTCTTTCTGGCTATGACTCTTTTCCAACATGTTTTATGTACTGAAGTGTTGCTGAGCTGTGACAGCCTGTCTTCTAACTCCTGTATTGCCTCTTAGGATTTCATAGAGTCATCAGTGGCGCTTTTTCAGTCTGATGATGAAGATGGGAAGGCATTAGACATCACCAGTGAAGAAGTCCCTGATTTGGAGAAGGCTGGATTTGGCCCCGAGACGAGGTCTATTCTTGTGAGGAGTGGAGTGTAAGTCTACTGAAATACATGGAGGGAACTCTTCAGTATTTTTGTGCATGTTTGGGTGCATCTTTTGATAGAATATGGTACAGGTGGTAAACATTTGGAGGAAAAAAATTTTTCTTTATGTTTCCTTGGTGAATGGAAGAGAAAAAACTAACATTAGTTTTTGTAGCTCTCATGCTTGTACCTTAATTTGGATCTGGACATTCTTGTCACTAGAGAAAGCTTGTCATGTTCCTCCAGAGGCATCACAGACTATAGTTTCACAATACAGGAGCTTTGGGAGTAATACAGAAGAGAGATTTTAGGTATGTTAAGGTCTGAGATGCCTTTTGGGACAGGTAGAGCCTGTACAGAAAGGATAAGGTGTGTTGTATTTGTAAGAAAGTCAGACTGCTGGCACTGAATATTTTAATTTTATAGAACTATTTTAACTAAAAGGAGGAGTTAAACCAAGGACTGTGGAAAAGTACCTGGCTCAAGCCAGTGTACAGGGTGGACTTGGCTAACTTTTGGTGTGCATATGTGAAGTTCGGAAGGAAAATAAACAAGGAAACAAAGAAAATAAATAAGGAAGGTAAATTAGACCACCTGCAGTGTCTGTTGACAGACAGACATGTGGTATTAACTGATGGAGCAAGGACAAAACTCTAAAGTGCTAGAAACCTACCAATTAGTGTGTGGGAGCTAGAATGCTTGGCCTGAAATAACAGCTCTGATCCAGCAGATACTGCAGAGACTCACAGGAGGGATAAGCAGGGGAGTCACCCACTCTATGGGAATGATGGAATAGGCTATTACATGGAAGGCAGGGGTACTATGCACGAAAAATAATATCAAGTGCTAAAACATAAAAGATGTTATGGGAAAATAGCACTATGGAATCATGTGGGTGGAAATTCCAGGCTTTTAATAGTAATTTTAAAAGTACAATATTAACACTCTCATACCTACCCTAATGGTGATGGTGATAGGGATCAGCAGCTGTTAAGTGAGACTAAAAAAGCTTCAAATTTAGGATGGGTAGCAATAGTGGGGGACTTGGAACTGCTCACACGGGGGCTGATTATTAGTGTCTCTTGAGGATAAAATACAAGAATGAAAGGCTGCAACTTAGTTTGGAGAGGAGGGATACAAATGAGAACTGCAAAATCCTGAGGGTGGTAAGACAAGTTTAATGTAGCAGCATTCACAGAGTCTTACATGACAACAGTTGAAGGGATGCTTTACAGAACTACATGATACTGAAGATCCAGTTGAGACAAATTTGAAAACTTGTCAGTTAAATTTCTTTCCTTTGTGTTTCTTGTTTCTGAGAAAAGCATCATCTCGTGATGAATGTATATTTGATGGAAAAGCAGATACCCAGAGTTGTGTGTTTGTCAAATAATGTTTGCAAAATAAAAGCAGAAAATACGAGGTGTGACAGTTTTATACCTCTCCTTGGGTTTAATGTTGCACTGTCTGTCAGATGGACTTTTTGTTGTATTTAACTTGCTAGCATTGTCATCAGACTACACAGAAAAATGCGATGGTTTTGGGTTAATTTTTGTGTCATTATCCAGGTGGGTGGCATATAAGCAGAAATATTTCTGTGGAGAACAATATGTATTGGAGAAAGGAAAATACAAATGCTTCTTTGACTGGGGAGGATCCAGTAAAACAATCATGTCAATTCGACCTGTGAAGCTGGTGAGTTACCAGAACCTTTTAAGGGGGAAACTTGAAAGAAATAAGGCCTTTGGAGTCCAGAGCATTCCATAAAAATTAAACAGGACAGTCCACATTATAACAACCCATCTGCTTATTTGGAAACAACTTAAAGACCCTTGTTAATGACATCATGAGTCTATTCAAGACAGAGACTTACATAGATGCCCTGGATCTTTTGATGTCTTGAGAAAATTATCAGGGAAACCTCAAAACAAGAACTTCCCTTTGGCAGACTGCATAAAGGCAAAGAATAACCTGGCCTGGAAAGATTAATTTGCTTTAAAACATAGGAATTTATGATGCCTAATCAATAACAGATATAAAACCACTTGAGAATTTATCTGGCCTATGTTGTTTTTTCTGTAATAGAAGTCTGGTTTTTTAATTATTTTTATTTTTATGCTGAAATATTTATAATACACACAGTGAATAAAGACAGGAAATATTTTTAATCCATTATTCAATCCAAGGTGGTGTAACTTGCCCAAGCAGATTAGTGCCAGAACTGTCAAAACCCAAATGCAAAGCAGAGTCAATCCTCAGTAATAAGTATTAAGTAATAATAAACAATAAATAAAAAGTAATAAATTATACTAATGCACTGAAAGCGGGAAAGGATTTTTTATCTTTCTTTTGAAGATCACGTGTCGAAAGAGCTGTCCCAGTCATCTGTTGTTTTTAATTCTGTGTCCTTTTGAGAAATAGCCTCAAAAACAAATGCAGACATTTATGTGGACTCTAATCCACATTATACAGACTAAGTAATGCTGATGCAATTTCTCTGTGTGAAAGGCACTGAACAGTCAGGCAGGTAATCGTGAGCTTACGGGCAGCTGATGGCAAAAATGGCAAAGAGAATTGTGCCAAGAGCCTGGGAAGTGTGTTTTTTCTCTGCTCTTCAGTTCATAATTAACAAATTTCAGGAACTTGACATGTCTCCTAGGAAATTAACTGTAATTGATTTGGGGTTCTTTTTAACGTGTGTATGTCTTTATTATTGCAGGAACCACTTGGAATGAACGAGCCTCCACATTTGGTATGTTGACATTATGTAACTGTCTTTAGTACTAAACTACATTTAATAATTAAATACAGGCAATGTTGCATGTCTTGCTTCAGATGACATCTCAGTTACTTCAAATGATACCTCAGTATTATCATTTCATACAGCAGATTGCTGATGGATGAAAGTGGTAGATGTATAAAGGTTAAGTTTGCTAATGTTCTGCTCTTTGCTTTATTCCAGATCGTATCCTTTAGTATTCTGTCTTCAAAAATGCAAGCAGTCCAATAGGTTTTGACTGACTTTCGGTCTCTATAGCTATTTATCTTCCTCTTCTTTCCTTCCTATTCCTGGTAACTCTCCACCACATTCACTCATCCTTCTCTTTGTGGCAGATTTTTGTTCCATTATTTTGCATTTTATTGGTTTGTCACTGCTGTGTCAACAGACTTGGTGAGGAGGAAAATATAAACTGCAGGAAATTGAACTGTACTTTCCAAACCTGCAGATGCATCAACAGAAGAAGTTCATTTTTTTAATCTTGAGTGCTGGTAGCTCTTCTTTTCATAGTCTCTTTAAGGAGCAGGTTACCTTTACCTCACAGGAACATTAAGACCTTAACTGAAAACGTCCTGCTCATAATAAATCCGTGATAAATCTCTTCTGTGATACATTCTGACAATTTCTCTGAAAGTTGCATCTGACTTGGTGGTAACTTACAATGAGAAAGTGGTCCCTATAACTCACTCAAGAATGACTTAGTTTTGGGTGTTACGATTTTGGGCCTTATCTTATGAGGTTACGTTCCATTAATGGACCTTTGTGTTATCTTTCTAAAAACAAAACCCTACTCTGTGCTCATCACCACACGGGGTCTGTGTCCCCTGCAATGTTCTGTCCCAGCAGGGCTCTCCTCTCTTCCAGCATTAGTTGTTTGATTTGTCTTTTTCTGTCCTGGAGAGCACTGCTGGTGTGGGTGATGATCGGAGGGGCTGCATTGCTCTCCCTGTGACATGCTTTTAATTAAACCAATTCAGAAAACTTTATTTCAAGAAACATGACATTATTTTTCAGACAAAAGAGACTTTAAAGCTCAGTGATTCTGTTTCAGCAAACTCTAAGTATTTTGTCATCTGGACACAATTTTGCTTTCTCCCTTGCATGGGAAATAACATACACTGTGTTGTTTAGCAGGTGGACCACACCCTCCTTTTTCCCCAAGTATCCTAGTTCTATGATTTTATGATTAACCCAAGACTACAGGAAATGTTTCCTGTCTGAAGACATAATTGGTGCATTATTTTAGTCTTAAACACTGACTTCCTGCCAGACCTATTCACATGGCAGTTTGCAGCCAAATCCAAAGACTTGCAAGGACGTTCACAGTAAGGTCTTGGTAAATGATACCAAATAAAATAACCAACTCTAGTGAAACCAGAGAGGTCCAAACAGTTGAAGACAATTTTATTTCCGTCTTCAACTCTTCTGTTTTTTCAGGATCTCACAAAAACTGTTCTTTGAGTACATTACTCCAGTTTTGCAGACCTTAAATATCAATTCAAGCCTTTGAAGTTTTAATAAATGGTGCTTTATAGTCTTTCTATTTCCCAGAAACATGAAAAAAATCTGTGTGTATGTATATACACAGTCACCTTTAAATACTGACTTGTACTAGATCATGTTTTGCCTCTTGTGTTCTCTAATAACAGTCCTAAAGCCATTTGTAAAACAATTACTATCCTGATTTATCACAATCCTGGTTCTCCCAGGATTCCACCCCAAAGCTGAGGAAGGAAGAACATCATTCCTATCCCTACAGCTCTTATAGGAGGGGAAATATTTTGAGTAAGTGTTTCTGGGAAAACATTTAATCACTTAGGTAAAGGACAGTCATAAATATGAAGAATTTCCCATTCAGAGTAAAATAAAAGCTTTCATGGACGCACTGGTCTTTTGGTTTGGAACTTCAAAGCATGGTGCATAGGAGCTGGCAGGTCCTTAAAACAACCTGATGTTTGAGCCTTGTATAAGCCATATATTGATTATTTTGAATGATTATACATTCTCCCACTTTTAATAAGCATGTATCTGAGCTAAGTGAACTGTTTTCACTGTCTACAACAGTATGTCTTCTTTTCACTTCTGTTTTTACTTGCTCATCAGAAACTGAAAAGCAGCTAAATTTCTAAAATCCCTCAGCAACTCCCCTGACCTTTTCCTCCTGCCAGGCTCCCTTATAAACCGTGGACATCCAGTGTCTGAAATCACTGACTCAACAAAGCCATTCCTTTTATTTATTAAAATAAAACTTGGTTTTGTCCAGCAAGAACAAAACCTCTTTCCATAGCAGCTGAGATGATTCAGAAAACAGAGATAATTGCTGCAATACCTTATGTTTTTATTTTACTGTGCTGTCTGTTGAACTTTTAGGAAGTGAAACCTCATATGATAATGTCAAACCCTGACAAACCAGAGATTGCTGCACTCTGAGACTAATTGCAGATGCTCAGTGTTTTCTCTGAGGAATCACTAGTTCACCCCAGACCATCATTCATTATTAGATAGATTCTGTATTAAACTGAGTTGTGAATCTTTTCTAAAAGCCTTGCATAGCATGTGGCCTATGTGTATATATATATGTATCTATTCCTTTCTGTAAAGAGCTTTTAGATGAGTGGGTAGAAAATACTATGTAATTACAGCTTAAATAGATGTTTTGTGACATAGCAGTGTCATTGCGTTCACAGAAAAATCAGTTACACTTTATTCACTGTATTGTAGCTGATCTGTGTTCTCCAGTTTGCAGTTACAGCATGTAAGGCCAGGTTAAGCCTTTCTTGTTCTTTCTAACAGGAAACATATTCATTTGTTTTAAAAACACAGACTGAGCTTTTCCATAAAATCATTTGCTTTGTGTTTGGCCTTTCTCAATCTGGACTGGCAAAAGCATTTGATTTCTTCTCTTTGGCAGGAAACTTGGACAATTTGGGGCATGAAGGGGGAAGTAGCTCTTGCAACAGCCATCGTGTTTTTCTTCCATTACAGAATATGAGCTATTCTCTTGATACAGTTAATTTTTTCATTCTTTTCCAGCCTCTCTTTCAGGCTTTAAAGTGAAATTCATCTCAGTTACACAGTGGCAGCCCAAGGGTACAGAATTCTGGGTGACTTTGCTGTAGATCACAGCCTGTGTCATACTGGCTTTTTTTCTTTTTTTGTTTCTCTCTTTCTCTTTTCTTTTACTGCAACACTTTCAGCCTTATTGCTTTTCAGGGTGAATTGAACACGTCTTACTGGTGGGGAGTGGTCCAGTGTGACTTGCAGTTCTTCACCATGACATCTGAAGTTCACCTAAGCTGTTTTTATGAGTTCCCAGTTCTGTCAGAAATTCTGAAATTAAAAACTGCCTGCTATCACTGTGGTCTCAGGAGATTTCAAGGCACTTTGTCAGCAGCAGATCTGTGTCTTTTGACCATTGCTTCCCCATTCTGTTTTGAACACTGGATTGCTGAGCTGTAGTGGGATTTAACTGCAGTTCAGGGGTCCTTCATGTGGATGAGAACAGCCTTCAGTCCTCCCCTTCTCTTTTTGCTGGGCCCTCTCCTGCTGCAGTTGAACTTGGAACACTTGATAACACTGCCTGCCCTAGCATCACTGGGGACCATCCTGTACCAGTCCCACAGATGATAAATTACTTGATCTTTCTAAATATAAAGTAGCTGTAGAAATGTAAAAGATTCCTTAAATGAGAAGTCGTTCTGTTTATTGTATCTTTATGAATTGAATGGATACTTCTGTGAGAGTACAGCTTTCTCTGTTTACATTAATGATAATGCCTTCATTTTCCTTCTAGTCATTGTTTTTGTTTTGTTTTGTTCTTGTAGCTCAAAGCTTTCAGTAATACACATTTCCAAGGAGCATGTATAGATTTCACAGCAGAAGTTTCTGATTTTACATCATTCATACCATGTTCTTTTAAGGTTCTTCGGGGATGGTAAGTCTGTTGTTTTACATGCCACCATTTTCAGGGATAGGAACTTTTTTTTTTTAAACCTTACTAAATTTCAGGCAACTGAAAACACATAACACATGCCCATCACATTCCATCGTGTCTTAGACCCTTTGTCTTGCAATGCATCTCAGTAACTCTCATCCTGTCCTTGGTTCGGGTAGTATGCATTTTGCTATCCCGTATGGGAAGCTTGCACAGTTACTGTGATTCTTTTCTTAACTCCAACTAGAATTTATTCCAGATTTTGAGAATTTGGTACAGTAGAAGTGTCTACATTCCACTTGCATTGTTTGACTCTGGAACTGAGGTTTCTGTACCACATGATTTGATCTTGCTGCTTTGGGTTAGTTCATAGCATAGCCTTTGAAGTCACCTTACTTTGAAGCTTCACAAGAACAGAGAAATTTTTTATTCCTTGTGTCCTTAGCAAATCTTAAGTCTTGAAAAAAACTTAGTGTTAATAAGCAGCTAGAGCCACTTATCGTTTTTGTTTCCTTATTCTTACAGTTGGCTCCTGTGTTACGAGGGGGAAATCACTGACAATCACTGTGTGCTGGAAGAAGGGCTCTACGCTGACCTCAGTTCCTGTGGCTGCCCGACTGCTACAATCAAATCCCTCAAGCCTATTCAATATGTAAGGACTCTATTGGGAAAAAATAATAACATTTTGGAACTCTTTTCCTAGTCAGATGTCTGAGCTTGCGGTAAATAGAGGAAAGAGTGAAGTTTGTTTTCTTGGCTTACAGGATTTTCTGGGTTAGGAACAAGTTGGGCTGCGTGTTCTTAGGCACATGGTCACTTGTAGGTGTGTGTTCTTGGGTGTTCTGGGCTCAGAGTTGCTCTGTTTTGTACAAGTTGCATTGGTTAACATTTTTCTCACTGATGTTGTGGCAAGTTCACCCTGGATGGGCACCAGGTGCCCACCAAGGCCACTTTATCATTTTCCCTTAAGTGGACAGGGGAGAGAAAATACAGCAAAACCTGCTCCAGGGTGAGCTCCTCTCTCCACGGGGCCACAGGTCCTGCCAGGAGCCTGCTCTCACCTGGGCTTCCCATGGGGTCACAGCCTCCTTCGGGCATCCACCTGCTCTTGTGTGGGGCCCTCCACGGGCTGCAGGTGGATTTCTGCTCCACCATGGTCCTCCATGAGCTTCAGTCTTGAAATTGAAGTAAGTGGCTTATCTGCCTACTCCTCTCTAGTGACAGCCACCAACTTCTGCAAAACTCTCCCTCCTCCCCTGATCACAGAACACAAACTCAGCCTATGGGACATGTGTCCTTCAGGGTAACTCTCATGAAGCTGGACTTCAGGGAGTACTCAGTTCAGTGGTTTTTTTCACATATGAAGTCCTTTTCCTCATTTGTGAACAGATTTTTAAAACAAAAGAAAAAAAAACCCAAAACAAAATCCCCAAAACAAACAAACAAAGCAATCAAAAGAAAATTTACCAAAAAAACTCTCAAGCAAACCCAACCACCAAAAGCCATGGGCATGGTGGGAAGGATGTACAATTTGAGCTTGAGAGCTCAACTTTTCACTAGACTACACAGATACAGTGGAGCTATAGCTTCCCACCTCACCTGCTGAGAGCCTGGTTTTTAAGTTAGGCTTTTGGACACTGCTGTGCTAAATCAGACTGAAGTTTTGACATGGAATAGTAGGTCTCTTCCCAATCCCCCAGCCTGTAATCTCTCGGGGAAGTAACTGTGCAGTTTGGTCTAGTGGGCAGCCCTAGATTACTGCGGGCCAGGCCCTGGAAGAAGTGTGTTTGGCAGGCTGTGCGTGGGAAGCTCACACGTCTTCCTCTGCTTTGGGAGAGACCTGCACCTCTTAGCTCAGTTCCTCTCTCTCAAATAGGAGCCCTCATATTCTACAAAATCAGGGCACTAAACAGCATAAAATGCTGTTGAACCCCACCTGTTTCACAAATAGCAGTGCCCTCAGTGGCCCCTAAGTCATTGTGAGTGCAGATGAGCCAGGTCAGGGTTCCCAGGCTTTGTGTGGCATCGACGTGAGGCCGAGCACGGAGCAGTGGGTTCCGTCTGTGGTCAGAACAGCCGTGGCTCCTTCTGTGCATTGTCCACAAAACACTGCCTGGAACAGAGCCCTCTTTATTACAACATACTGCTGTTAGCTCATTCAAGAGACAAGCAATGCTATTCCCAAGTGGAGCTGTTGTGTAGTTTTATTGAATTAATTTGTGGCACTGGGAACCCCTTCCATTATTCAACTTTAAATACCAGACCTAAGGTGTGTCTCTTGGTCGCTGATGTGTGAGAGGGAGAACGTTTAACCCCAGCACCAAGCCCTAAATGTGCATTGTCTCCTGCTCCACTTCCAGTGAGATGAATTTGCTGCAAGTGTGGCTGTGAAGGACTCCCACACTGTGGTGGGGAGCCATGCATTGCTCTGTGTGAGGCTTCTGCATCCCAGATGTTCGCTAGGAGAAGAGGTCCATGTATGGCACTGCTAGAGGGGAAAAAAATATGCTTTTAGTAGTACAAAGGCTAGCTCATTAGCAGCCTTTGGGAACAGTCCAAGCCTGTTCAGTGGTGTAGGTGTGGCCAGCTATATATTTTAGAAGTAGATTGTATCAGCCAGATAGGAGATAGGAGAACAAAATGGGCTTGAGAAAAATAGGGGCATGGGATCTGGGTATTCCCTTGCTAATTTGCAAGGCTGTGGTGATAATTACCGATATGTTACCTTGGTTTTTGTGCAGGTGAGCGAAGTGGTAAAGTGTAACTTCTTGAGTTTTCACTTCAAATCTGTTTTGAGGGGCTTTTTAAGATGTTGTCAGCTGCTGCAGGATTTCTGAGCTCTGTTTTGGAAGCAGAATTTGAGGATTAACATTCCATATTTGCAGTACTCCTTCATGGCATTGGTGGGATTTTGTGACCTGATGGAACAGCACTGTAAGGTGGCAGTGGAATTTTTGTGACTGGGGTAACAGCACTGCCTTAATCAATATGAAACAGTAAAGAACTTCTGGAAAACCTGGACTTCTTTTTTCCCCAAAAATAGATCAACCAAATAGAGATGAGGAATAGACTTGAAGGAATAATTTGTTCTGTGGAAAATGCAGCTTTCATGCAAACAAAATGTTTGCAAACAAATATAACAAATGTTATGTGCTTGTTCTCCAAGGACTGTAATACTCAAGCTAAATCTTTAGGAGGCCCTAGATGTTCTTTTTTCCTGCTGTTTCATTTTGCTCAAATTTAGAATGATCTGTTTTGTCCTTCTGGGAGGAAGGACAAAAGTTTAGGAAAAGTTGTAGGAACAAAGCATATGTGTGCACTGATAGTGAGAGTATTATGTCCTTTGGTTTGATACTCTGTGAGGAAAAAATAGGGCTGCAATACTGCAGGTTTCCATGCCTGCATCAGCATTTCCACACCTTTTGCATTTTCATGGGTTCATGGAAGGGAAAGCTGCAAAAGAGTGGGTGAAGACAACTGTGCCATTTATAGAGCCATGGTTGCTTATTGGGGAATTTGCCCAGTGTTTGTTGCTTGAAGAGGTTAATCTTTTGGGATAGAGACCCTTATGTTCTTGCAATGGGGAGCTCTAGTGCTGCCTTTTCTCAGGCAGGCTGTATTGTCAAACTCCCTGTCATATTTACTGTGATTTCCGTGGACAAGAATAGCCAGTATTGTTGCAATGAGCACTTAGTTCTCCTTCTAAAGTGTTAACATCAGTCCTTAAGTTAAAGCAGTCTGAATGTTTCTAAAACCAAAAATGACATCGAGGCTGTAGGTTGTGCAATGCTTTTTTTGCTGGATTGCTTTTTTGCCCTATTCTTTTGAGGCATTCGTTATTCCTGCTCTGATCAATCATGACAGTTCTTGCATTTCTGTATTGATTATCTTTTTCTAAGTTAAGTACAGGTGTTAACCAATCTTCCTAGCATTCCTGTGAGGCAGATAATGAAATCAGATACAAGAATGAATTGGTTTCCCAGGGCCAGGCAATGATTCATTTTGTGTAGCTGGGACTGGACCGTGGGTGTTCTGTTGTCCAGTACTGTATTCCTCTCCCTCAGCCAGGCATCCATCCCACACCGAAGGGAGTAGCCAGGCAAGAGCAGCCTCAGTAAAGACAGTTGTTGCCAAAGGATGTTTCTCATGGTCACTAATGCCCTTGTGAAAATTGACCCTGTTGGACCTGTTCTGGACACGATTTCTGGTGTCTGCTCAGGTGAAAGGCAGTGCCAAGACTTTTGCAAACAGGAGTGTGCTGATACTGTCCTGCTGAGCAGAGCAACCTGAGAAATAGCTACCTACCTGCTGGTCTGGATTTCAAAGCGAGCCTTTAGTCACACATTGTAAATTTAACCCAGCCCCTCCAGCAGAAGGCACTTGGTAAGAACTGACCTTCCAAAATAAAAGCATTGCAGGTTTTAATCTGTTTCTGGTTTGTAACATTAGTGTTTTAGGAGTACAGTGGGCTTTGAAAAATGTCTCTGAGTGGATGATCCCCAAGCTCTTCTTTAAAATGTCTCAGCAAACTCTTTGTCCTTGCAGTGTTGCATGACTTAGATTGTACGTGCACTGGTTGGCAGAGGAAAACAACTTCTCTGAGGCAGATTCTGACCAAACAGCTACATACCAAGTGCTCTGAGTCAGTGTCAAGTAAATCTGCGTGTCCTGAATCACCACTGAGCAGCTCAGAGACACTTCACTACAATACATGTGCCTCCTCATACATAAAAGTTAATTTCTCCTCATTACTCGGTGCCTGTGTCAACTTTAATTCAAGATTTTGCTTTGTTCATTCCACCTGAGGCCATATCTTTGCTGCAAGAGAAATCCTAATTTTTGCTTGAGCCAGCTATGTCAGAGTAACCTCTCCTAAAACCCAGGTGACTTTCCTGGAAAGGCTGATCAGAGGTTACCCAGACCTGTTCCCTCCTCCTTTGCAGCTGCATCAAGATGAAAACTTCAAGTGCTTATGCTGTTGGTTACAATATTCCTCTTATGGTTTTAGGTTAAAAATGCTGTAGAATTGTGCCAGTGTTCCTTGCACGAAGGCACAGACTTTGTGTATTTAAATGTTTCCTCTGTTTTTCTGCTGATCTTATAGCAGTACCACATTTTCATGCAGACTGATCCTTTTATTTGCTTTCATAGGCAATCTGTCAACTGTAAAAAAGGACATTAAGTGAAAAATGTTTCAATTCTACATGAGATTGAAGGGTTTAGTAATTATGCTTTTTCTTCAGGATTGTCAGGAGAAAAATAGGAATGCCTGATTAAAACATTGAAAGCTTTTTAGTTGACCTTTTTAACCTCTTGCAGTTTGTAGCTGTCTAAGATTTTTGCGGTGAACTACTGCTAACTGAGGGCTATGGACACTGTACTTGTGATTTGCATCGCTGCTTTAGGTGTAATCTGCATATTCCGTCGATAAGTAAATAACCTGGATTTATGCAAAGCAAAAACTAAGGCCCTGATGATTCAAATAAAAATGAGTTTTCTCAGATGCAGAGGCCTCTCTGCATCACAAAGTGACTCACTGTGCCTGGCATGTGTCAGTGGGGCTGCCACGCTCTGATGACAAAGCCACTCATAAATGCAGTGTGTTCCAGCTCCGTGTGCTTTGTGTTTTTTTTCCTTCTTTGTTAAGGGGAGCATGATCTGAGCCAAAAGCACGTGGAAATTCAGCCGAAGTGGGCAAACGTGGGCATCATGTCTGACACCTGAAGTTAGACTATTCCTGCTAAAACTTCACTTTTTTTTCTCTCTCCTTCCTCCTTCCCCAGGTTTTTGCTGAGCCTTCCATCAGTCTTTTCACCCTGGAATGCTGCAAGGGCAGAGAGCTGCACTTCAGCGAACCCATCAGCTCTGTTCTGAATGAGGACCTTCATTTTTGCACTCAGTCTGTGTGGGTGAGGAGCGGACTGTAAGTATGGAAGAAATATTCCTGTCAGTTTTGCACTGTAGGGGCCACTACTGAACATGCATTTTCTCACCCCGTTTATAGGATGTTTCACATTCTAACTTTAATTTTGAGACAATATAAAATTCTAAAATGCAGTTGAATGCCAAGCACACTTTTTGTATCAAGACCCAAAACTGAACAAAAACTCTGGGCAGAGGGTGTATTTCCCCTTGTAAGAATCATCCTTTTATCCCTATACAGTAGGAATATGACCAGTAGAGCCTGTTGTTCAAGCCAGGAGCCAAAAGTAAGTTTTGATTACTGACTTACAAAGACAGGTAGTGTAAACTCGAACTGCCTTTATTAACTGGCTGTAAAATACCACCTATAAACTGCAGTGATTTAAACCACTGATGTGCTGACTGGCTGCCAAAGAGGCAGCAGCATCTGAGAGAAGCTCGCTCAGGGTGGATCTGACAGCTGGAACAGTAATTTGCTTCTGTTATTAGTTTAGCCCTCCTCCCTGAGTGTGAACACGCACCCAGGCTCTTCTGTGAAAAACATTTTACATCTGCAGGAGTGACCCTCTGACCTCTTCCACATGTTGCCCTTTCCCCTTTTGGAAAACCTCTCATGTGTTCTGTCTCTGACCAGGTTTTCAGCCTCCACATCCATAGCAGCCACAAACAATTTGCAGAGTCTCATCCCGCGACTGAGACTGGCTGGAAACTGCTTCCTCTAATGTGACACACATTTCACATGTTTATGTTTGACCTTTCCTCACCTTCTTCACACAGACAAGGCTGTAATTTTCTTGAGAGAATAGTGAATAGCTTCCCCACAGAGCTTTGCCAGTTCACTATGAGTTCTAGTCCCTAACATCTGTGCCACTTCCATCCTGAAACCTTGCTGGGAATGTAGAGTGATGATCTGCTGCTGTTGTCTTGAGGTGCCCTAGATGAGGGTGGCAAACAGCTGCTGTTTGGCTGAGAACTGCACACTTTCTGTGATCTGTGTTAATTTGGAAGGGGAAAGGCCTTCTCTGGGAGGAACGTCTGACTTATTTCTGGTGGGAGTGTGTAAATCTCCATTCTTCTGTGGAAGTGTTGAGGTCTAAAGTTCGTCCTGCTGGGAAACATCTCTTTATGAGCTTTCTCTGCCCTCTCATCAGGGGTGTGGAACTGGGATATTAAATCCCTTTGCCCATGCAATTGGCTGTAAAGGAAGGGTGATGGCTTTAGGACCACGTAGCAAGAAAGCATGGGAGAGTGAGTGCAGCACTCCAGCCCCTCCTGCATCTTTATTGTGCATCCAAGCCAGGTCAGCTCCTTCCCTGTCTTTGGGAAGAACGGTCGGGGCAGAGTGGCTGGGCTTCCTCTGAGTTGTTTGTGATGCTCCCTAGGAAACAGACCCCCCCAGCCTGTCCCCATCCCACACGGCAGATAGGTAGCCTAAAGGTGTCAGGTTATCACGGGAAGTCTGTGGGTTCGTTTGCCTTATCTGTGATTGAGAGCTCAGGAAGGCGGATTCGCAGGGTTTTTAGCTCCTTGTCCCAAAGCCCGCTGTCAACTTTAGGCAAATAACAAAGATTTACTGGCCACCTCAGCAATGGCACAAGCCTGGGCTGTGACTTGCCAAAGGGGGGGGATGGCTGCTGAGATACTCTGAGATGGGGAACAGGAGGCACAGCCTGGTGAGAGCCGAGATGAGTTCTGTCTGTGTTGCTGAGGGCCAGAAGCCTGACCTGGCTTCATCTGGTGATCACTGTGACAGTCTCTCCCCTCTCTGTTTCCTATAAATGTCTGCTGTGAAACTGCATTCCAACTGAGACTGTCCTGTGCTCCAAGAGAATTACTAACAAATGAATTCTGAGTTACCTGACAGAAAGCATTGCAAGGAAAAAAGTCAGGAATGCATTAGAAGGATAAAGAACACAGAGTGGTGGTCAGACTGCTCTGGATACCTGTTAGTCAGGAGGGATGGGACTTTATTTGAGGAAACAGAGATACAGCCCCATTGCAAGGCCTTTCACAGCACACTTTAGGCTCCATGGAGCCCTAAGCAAGGCTGGCTGTCAAGTTCCTCCAAGTTATGTGCCACAGGAAAAGCAAATTCCAGGTGCTGTGAGCACTGTGGATGCTTTCTCACTGACTTACAGCTCACCCACCCCTTGTGATCTTGGCAGCTGACCTGCAAAACAGGTAACCGGGGAAACCAGTGTTTGCTTTGTGTCCAGAGGAGTTAACGAGTCAGGCATTTACTGTCCACACAACAATGTGCTATTGATACTAACAGAAGGGATCTGTGATCCTGAAGCTGCCCTTTGTAAGCAGCATTTACTGAGCAGATGCCCAGATAACAAGGGGTCTGTATATGCCAGTGGTGAGGGATTCAGTCATGCCCACAGCTCAGATATATTCATTACAGGGAAGTCTGCTACAGCAGGGTGTAGGTTTTGGAGTAAACACTTTGTGTTTTCAGACAGGTGGAATAGCTATAAAAAGCTTTAACAGTAATGTAAACACAGGACAAGATCCTCCCGTAATTAATATGTACAACCAGGCAAAGCTGCACCTGCTGTGTGGCTTCCTAGTTTCTTAACTCTGCCTGCTGAAACCAGCATTATTCCCACCTGAGTTCTCCTATTTGTGGAGAAAAAAAATGGGGGGAAGAGGGGGGAGACAAGGAGTGGAGTTTACAAATTTCAGGCGGACAAACAGAAAACACGTCTCAGTGTCAACAGAAGGCAGTCAAACCACTGACGTGGGGGGCATTCTGCAGCACAGAAATAGAGGTTTGACACAAGCACCACTGTGGAGAGGTTTGGGGTTTTCAGGAGCACAGCCCTGACCGGCAGTTTGGGTTTGCTGTGGTTAACACGAGGTCCTTCACGTTCTGTTCTCTGTATCCAGGTGGATTGCGTACGAGGGATGTAATTTTTTAGGAAGGCAGATTCTGCTGGAGCCCAGTGAGATTTCAAACTGGAATGAACACAGTGGCTGGAAAGTAATTGGCTCCCTTCGTCCCATGAAGCAGGTACTGTAAGACTGTTTGAGGACAGGGGTGTTTTTTTTGGACAGGGACTTAGTGCACAAGTGTCAGCTCTAGCAGCAAGTACAGTGGTGTGTGTTGTACTCCTTAAATCAGGCCAAATGGTGACAGCCGGAAAGACCTACTGGAAGATTACTGAAGCAGAAAATTCCTCTCGTGGCAGTTATTGAGATCTATGTTCAGCTCCTAAAGGGAAATAATTCCTCGTTTCTTGAAGCCAAGTTTTGTTTTTCTGAATTGCTTATTAGCATGTTCTGGAGATGCTCTATTTTTACACTTTTGCCATATAACAATATAATGAGAAAACCAATTCCACATTTCATAATTAACATAAATGGAAGCAAGAGCAAATTTTATTGTTCTCTAGCCTGGATTTCCAAAACAGGCAAACTTCATGCAGTCCCACCAGGTTTTCCCTCTCTGCCTCACTCCAAGTAATGCCAGTTTCCATCTCATTCAAAGGCTCACGTCTCAAAACCACAACATTCTTAGGAGCTTTGCAAAAGGTAGATGGAGAAGCAAAACTGAGATAAATGTCCCTGAATCAAGGAGAAGGAGGTAGAATTGTGCTTCTCTGCCTTTCCAAGGCCCAGCAGGTCATCAGTGACACACAGAAGCTCCAGACCAGTCGAAACAGGTGTTGTCACTGCCCAGCCTTGCAAAATGAGACAGGCTTTGCTCAGAGACTTCACAGTTCCTTGTAAGGAATAACTATACTCTATGCTGATGCACATTATGTTTATGGATGCTTGGTGGGAGAGAGGCTTTATTGTCTGCTTGTTTTAATATGGAAAAAAGGGGATTCAAAATTCCCAGAAGAAAAACTGTTTGAGTTGGGGTTCCAACAGAGCTGCTCTTTATAACTCTCTGCTCTTTATTTGCACTGAAATCAGGGAATGACAGAGCAAAAGCTCAAACCCTGTAACAGCCCTACAAAATCCTCTTATTTTTTGAGTAAAGTGAGTAAACAGGGATGCCGAGCCAGTACCCTGTTTTTTGTGTATGTTCCAAAGCAGAATGTATGTTCAAAAGTGGTTTATCTCTGCCGTATACTCCAGTTAATGGGGGTTGAAGTTACTGGATACCAAACTCAGTAGTTTTGTGTCATAAGAATAAAAAGCCTGTGGAGTCCAGCCCACAGCCTGGCCTTGGAGTGACTGAAATGCACTGAACTAGACATGTTTGCATATCCCAGAAATTACGTCTACAGCCATAAGTACATTTTTTTAAAGAAAACCCATCTGCCATTGCTGCTTAGAGCTGTGAAAGCCACTTGCTGCTGCTTCACATGCGTATTTCTTTCTAACAGAAAAAAGAATCCTTTTCTGATACTGGAAATTGGATGTAATGTTTAGAAAACTGATATGAGGTGGAGGGGAGGCTCTCTCACATCAGCTGTGGTAATCTCTGTGTTGTAACTCTCCCCTCACACCCTCCCAGCCTGCAGTGTACCTGAGGGTGAGGAACCGAGCCCAGGGTCGGTACCTGACTGTGGCTGGGAGCCTGGCAGACGTCAGAGCAACGTCAGTGTGTGCATCCCCCTACAACGGCAGGAACACCCAGGTCTGGCACTACTGCCGGGGACTCTTCAAGTCCAGGGTGAGTTTCCAGGTGCTGGAAGTGGGTGGGTTCTATCCGTGCTCTCCTCTGACCTTCACTTCTTGCTTTTACTCTAGGCCGCCACTAACACCCAGATGGCTTTGTTCTCTCTTAAAACCAAAACTCTTAAAAAAACCTACATCCTCTTACTTACTATGGATAGGTCACTTTGCTCTGTCTGCTTGGGCAAGTTGGGCTACTTCTCACATCTGTCTAAGGGGACTGATGTTCCTGGAAGTAGAAACCTGGTTTTGTCCAAAGTCGCAAGTTTAAGTTTAAAACTTTGAATAGTTAAGAACTTATCTGAAAAGTAATGTGTGAATGAATTAAGTGATTTTCTATTAATGCTGCCCTTGATAACTGTTATTGGTATAAAAAAAGCTGATAATTTAACATAAAAAGCTGATAACACAAAAGCCTGAAGTAGCAGAGACACCGCCTTTGACCAAGCAGCTGATCAGTTGCTGCATAATCTGCTCCTCTCTTGCTTGTCAGGCTTCTTATCACTCCAGCATGATTTCCTGACGTATGCTCAGTGCCTGAAACAAGTCAGGCACAAAACTGAGGCTTTGTGGCCTGGATCTCACCTCTCTTCTTGTTCCTTAGGCCAACAATGCCTGTCTGGATGTCATTGGTGGCAGAGATGTGCCTGGGGCCAAAGTTGCCCTCTGGGCAGAGCATGGGAAGGACAGACAAAAGTGGAGATTCAACGAGGATGGAACCATCAGTTCATACCTCAGTGAACAACTGGTGCTTGATATTAAAGGTATTTAAAAAACAAACCATCTCTAAACCTCTCACATGTTTTAGGTGTGCTTTTTGATTAGGGTTAATTGTCATTTTCCTTTTTTTTTTTTTTCTTGTACTTAAGGTTTTCTGTTAAGTTTATGTCCAGTTGCTTGACAGTGGGACAAGGAACAACAGGAGGGGGAGGAACCTTTCTCTTTTGATTCCAGAGGTTTATTTGGATCAGATCAACTATTGTACTTTAGGGAGTTAAGCAGTGCTGATGGCAAGAAATGTGAGTTACAGAAGACAAAATGGTGGAGAAGCAACCACAGAACAGCTGTGGCTCAAAAAGTGAAAGGAAGTTTAAAAAAAAAGACTGGTTAAAATTGTCACTGCTCAGTTACAGACACCTCATGGAATTTCTGTTTTTCACCTGATTTTCCTACTTAGTCATACTTCTTAAAGATTATCCATAGATTTTTATGAGCATTTGTTTTAAAAAAATTTCTTTCATGACCTTCTTTTGTTTTTAAGGAGGAAATTATTATGACAAGAACCACATCATTATGAATCAGCCAGTAGAAGACAGACTTTCACAGAAATGGGATATAGAAGTACTGTGAGTAAAACCCACCCCACGGATGGACCTTGTGCGGGCTATTAACGTCTATCTTAGAGGGGGAAAACAAGAACACAGCTACTGAAGTCACACACCACTGGAACCATAAGCAGCAACTCCTCTCTACTTTCCTTCATACCATCTCTTAAAAGAACTGAATTTTGCACAAATCTGGAAGAGGGGAGGTTGATGCAATGTCTCTCTGCAAGGAAGCTGATTTTTCAGAGGCTGCTCCTGTGAAAGTCACTATTACTCTTCATCTGCAGTATGAAAGGTATGAAAGTATAAAAGACTAGACATAGGTTTTGCAGTATAGGAACTGCAAGAGATAACATGTGAAAGGCTCTTCAGAGATACTGTCTTTATCTTCCTCACACTGATGGAAGCTCCCCAAGGAATGAATGCACTGGTGAGCTTGAATGAAGGTGAGATGGACTTTCATGTCCCAAGTGAAACTGTTTGGGCTCCAAGCAATTGTGAAGCTCAAATCTTGCTAAAATGCAATTTATTATGTTCATAAAGACAACTTGGAACTGGAATTCCAGCTCAGCATGTGAAATGAGGTGACAGAGAAAGCCTGACTCTCACCCCCTCAACGTTACTTGTCGGCCTTTGCCTTCTCTCGTTTTCATAGTACCAAATTCCCAGAGCCAGGAACTGTTTTTGCTGCCCCGTGGCCCGTTTACTGCCCACGCAATTGTGAGTTATCCTTGAAGATCACCTTTAACAGGAGCCATATGTGCATGTATCAAACCAGGGATAAATGGCCCTGGGTCAGGCTGCACTTCTGCAAGGGCTAAAGCTGCGTTTAGCACAGCAGCGATTTCAAATGTAGCTGTATTTTTGGTTCAGTGTACAGAGCTTAATTTAATGCAATGTCATTTGGTGTTGAAACCATGTCTTCCTGCAGAAAACAGCTCACCCTGGCATGTGTTTTCAAAGGTGCTGGCAGCCTGCATTCCAGTGCTTGCTTGATGAGAAATCCCTCAGATCACTGGTTTCAGCATCACATACCTACTTCATTGAAAATACCTTCTTTTTTTCATATTTGTATATTCAGGGTATGTTTTCCAGGTATGTATTCTAAGACTATTTAAAGAGTTCAGGTTAGCTAAAGACAAGGTATTTTAGATTCCAAAAGCTGTAACTATTGTGCACTCAAACAGGATCACCCCAAACAAATAAAGACATAACCCTATGTCTGCCATAGATAAAATATATAGATGTCTATTTTTGTATGAAATGGAGTTCTATATAGTATTGTTTAAAAAAAAAATCTACTTGCACTTACTGTTTTACATTCTAAAATTATCATAAATCTGCTGTTTGAGTAACAGATCCTCAAATATATGTATATATTTTTCCAACTAAAACATTTGTTTAGCTTTTTTCCATGTAAATCAGTACATCAAGTGTTCTGCACGTGACTTGCTTTCCATATGAAATTTTAAAAGCCTGTGTAAAAAGTTGTAGTTTTTTTAATGAAGAATGACTAAATCAGATTTGGTGTCTCAGTGTTACATAACAAAGCGAAGCAGGCTTTTGTACTTAGGAGACCTTGAATGTAAAATGCTTAAGCATGTATATTTTACCTGTATAAAACTTTTTAGGAGGAACATTTTGTTTGTTGGTTTCTTTTTTAAACAAACTAAACAACAGTTTTTTAGCAGATGTCAACAAGCACGTTCCTGTAAAATATTTCTTTTCAAATGGACAGAAAAAGAGGTAAGTATATTGAGTACACAACTCTGCTGTCACATGAGTTTAATAGTTCATTGATTTTTAATATTCAAGTAACTGCACTACTACTCATCAAAACCCATTTGAGTGAGCATTGAAGATGCAGGTTCCAGCCAGAGGTTTTTGGGTTATTTTCACATGAAAATTGGTGCTGGGGGAGGTAGAGGTTAAATGCTATTGTTTGTTTATTCCAGTGTTGGCAGCATCTGAGACGAAAGGGCTTTACTTGAGCAAAATCTTCCCCCTGGAAACAGCACACACAGCTTTTACCGAGAAGCTTCTGTCTTGTCAGGCCAATCAAACAGAACAAACATGTTTTCTTGTTGCTGAACTTTACAAATGAAAAAAACAAGTTACTGTTCTATGCCTAAGGTTCTGGATCCTGCTCCATGTATAACTTCAGCAGCTCTCCCGAGGGAAGGGGATACTGGTGTTATTGGGAGGGACTTTGTGCATCCCCACATATGCAGCTATGGCTCACTAGAAGCGAGCAGCTTACCTGTTTTTCCCCATGTCCAGTTTCCCAAAACTGAGGAAAGAAAAGTATGTATTTATTAGACAGCACCACAAACCAGAGGCTGGATGGATAAGGAAGTAATTTAATAAGCCTCCCTCTCAAGAGATGCTTAATAGCCAGAAACACTCCTTTAGTGGAGCAGCTCATTCACAGAAGCATCAAAGAACTTCAATCAGACATTCACTCCACAGGGACAAGGCAAGGTTTTCCTTCTCTTCATCTGAGGTGAGGTTAAGCTCTTTAACATTAACAGTGCTGCTACTCCAGATCTGCTTCAGTGCTTCCAAGTATGACAAAGGAAAGCGGAGTCCGTGAGTCTGCTGGGGAAGAAGAAATAGAAAAAATATCCTTCAGCTGAGAGCAGTGTCCTTATTGCACAGCAATGTGTGAGACTGTGGGTAGGGAGCAGCAGCACTGTGCTCCCTTCCCACATGGCACTGGTGAGCATTCTCCAACAGTTTTATCCAGGCCTGTTTTGTCTTTGTAGGGAAAATGCTAAACTGTCTTCTATGTTCTAGCACACTTTAAGAGGTGGGGATGTTTGCAGCACATGGCTTTCTCCTGTGGTTTCCGCACTGAAGCATTATATAACCTTAAATTTACACTCTTGCCTTAACCCTAGACATTATTTTTGGAAGGTCACAGAAGTTTATTTCTAGCTGCCACATGCAGTCTTTGGATACAGTTTGACACAAGCACAGAGAAGCTCCACTACCAGGCCTGGAGTCTTCAAGGGCAAGAAGGAATATTCTGGGATCTGCGTGTCTTGTTCAGGTGTCTTGTTCAGTGTACAACCTCAGCTCTGGAGGACCAGTGAGATTTACCTCAAAAGCCTTGCTGTAACTACTGAGACAAGGACAGACTGTGTCCTGTTTTGCCTCTATTTGTGCAGACCTGAATTCAAGTGTTTTGGATCACAGACCTAAGACACAGCATCTCTCTGCCATAGAAGCAGAAATAAGGGTTCCAAAGCTCAAAGCCACTTTTAAGAAGGGTTTATGACAGCAGAAGCACATTGTACCTGCGAGCAGGAACAGAGAGACAACCTAAAAAGTAAGTACATTTTCAGAACAAGGTACGTCTTTACTCCCAGTGCTGACCCACCCTACCCTAAAATGAACACCCCTGTAGTGTGTTCCACTGGATACAGAATCTAACATGGGGTTAGCATGGCAGTGATCCTTAGGGACTATGTGCTGGCCTATCCAGTAGCCTCAGCAGGACACACCACTCAAAGAGCTGGTTTTAGTTGCTCCAGTAGCTTTGCTAACTGGGACATAAGGTATGCACCAGAAATCCTTGTTAACATCTCAAGTGTTTAATTAAGCATGAGATCACATTACTCAGTTCTACGCTTAACTGCCTCTGTGGTGCAGCCTCAGCTCACTGGGCACTGCAGGGATGGGCAGGAATGCTCTGTGTGCTGAGGATCACAACAGAACCCAGGCCCTGCTGCCATTTTGGGCAAGCTCATCTAATGCAGGAAAACCACCATGGGAAGATAATTTTTGGTGTGTTTGCAGGAACAAACCTGTGACGTGCCATCCTCACTAGCAGTGTCATCTTCTGTCCCCATCATGTGAGTGTCTCTCCTGTTCTTTAAGGAATGGTACACATAAACCATCTCCCTGCGAATTTCATCCTAAAAGACAGCAGGGAGGAAACAGTTACACATGATCCACACCCTCAGACTCCTCTCACTGCTGTTGCCAGTGCTCCTTAATTCTGGAGTTACTCTTACAACAAAGCGCACAAGTCACCCTGCCAAATGAATTTTCCAACAGCCAACCTTCCACAGCAATAAGGGACTCTCCAAAACACCTCTGAAAATTTATCTGCTATCATCTTCTACCTTAAAACTGCCCCTACTGGAGTCCCAGGACTGATGCTGTACAGAAAACGGGCCATTTAAGGGAAAGTAATAATGAACAGGTGTGCATCAACACATTTCCAGTCTGATACTGATCTGTCTCTTAAAAATCACATGCCCATTATCAGTCCTTGGTCAAAGCTGTGCAAAGCAATTCAGAGCCCTCTGGGCAGGTTGCACATGGAATTTGTGGACACAAGTCTTGCATGTGTCCTGTCATCCTAGGTTGATCTCTGTGACGTCAGAAGGCAAGATGGCCAAAAAACTGAGGGGGAAAAAAGTCTCCAAAACCTACACAGTCTCACAGCAGTATGGACACAAGCAAGATGGGATCAGAAAGTTATGGTGTGCTTTTCTTAGAAATATTCCACTCATCCAAAAAAAAAAAACAAACCACCTACTGTACAAGATAATCTTTGCTGTGTCCCACCCCCTTTTTTTAAAGTGAGATAAAAAAAGCACTTCTGCAATTTTATCCTAATAAACCTTCATGGATAAGACTTAGTATAAACACAGCATAATACAAGATGCATGTATCAGTGTTGTGGAACAACTTAGTAGTGCCACTGGCACCTGCTTGGATACAGAGATAACTTAGAAGTGAAGATTAAATGGAGCCACAGCAGCAGCTGCAACCACCAGAATTCCCTCTCTTGAGGAAACCTATTTTTATAACTTATTCGTGTTCTTTAATACAAAGAATAGTAAAAAAATCTATTATCAAGACCTGTAGAGGCCATTTAGCTGCTGTAACGATCTACCCCATCAAACCTCAGACAATAGCCATGCACCTCCCATAGAGAATCACAGGCTGAATTTACTTTTGTAGCCCCCCTCCAGAAGGCTGGAATGTGCCACATCACTCAACAAACAACCCCAAAGTATCCTAATGGGATGCAGGAGCCAACTGAGTGCAACTGCATGACCCTTTTGTACAAGAGAGAAACAACTCACATGCGCTCCCCAGCCCACCCCAAATATACAGTACTCACAGCATTCTCTTGATCTGGTTCCACGGAGATGAGAGCGTGATCTCTGAACTGCAGTCTGATTTTGCTGTCTATTTTTGGCAATTTCCCACCTAAGGAAAATAAATCCTCCCTTAGAAAGGAAGAAAAACAGATAAACGGTCCAAACTGAGGCCCCTCTGTGCTCTCTCCACTCTCTCAGGGCTGGATTGTTTGTTAACCTGTTTCAACACCACATGTCCTCAAACTTGCTGTGGAGGGGCCAAGGAGAAAGAGATTTTTTTAATTCTCTCACCTTTCCAGTCTACAAAGAGCTGTAATAAATAGCAAGCTAGACCCCAGAGACAACTGCTACCAGTTAAATGCTCTCAGGATACAGTTTATCACAGCTGCCAGTTCCAGTCTGGGATAACCTTTATTCCACTCTAAAGGAGTGTCATCTCTCCCACTAGACACAGGGAGCAAACACCCACGTGGGGCCTCACAGCACATGAAGCTGATGCTGGACTGCGATCTTTGCCTACCATAAAATACCAGAAGTCCCAAGAGGAGCAGAGTTAGCAACAGCTCTACCATCACATCAGCCAGTTTTAGTAACTTCAAAACCTACCTGGAGTCAAGGAACCAGAGTCACATCCCAAGCAAGGCGGCAGCCGGTGCATAATGAAGTCCTTCTTCATGTCAGATGACCTCAGTTCCTTGGTGTGGTCCAGGTGGTCTGCAAGCCTCCTCAAAAGGCTGCTCAGCTTTTTGGTGGAGTCAGCCGTATTCACCTGCTAAATATCCACACAGAGTTGTTCTCACATGAATTCAGGCCATACAGACCAGGCCTATGCTGGTACAGCAATGCTGTAAAACTCTGGATGCTGCTCTTCTATCTTTGCAAGGTTAACACTCAGTCGCAAAACAACTGCCTTTCTTCATTTTAGACATTCCCCATGAAAGCACCTCTTTCCCTTGCTCTGGGGCTACTGCCATGCTAAAGGACGTGCAAATGCAGTTGAAGAGACACTTTTTCCTCCTGAAGCTGATCAGCACGACAGGACCACCATAAAGAGGTCACACAACAATTTACATATTCACTAACTTTTAAAGACTGAAAAGCTTGGCCTGAGAGTAATTATGCCTGGCTGACAGATCCCAGGCAAACAGCTTTACTTTTAGAAGGAAACAAGCCATACGAGGACACTGTGATAGGAAAGAAAAAGAGTGTAATGAATCAGGCAGTGCTTGAGATGAAGCCAGCCTCAGAATAGTCATCCTGAAGACTTCAAAACAAGTGGCTAGGCTGCTAGACAAGGCAGTGCCATTGCACTGAGCCTTCAGAGCAGATCAGGTTCTGAAGTTCCGTCTGGGTGCACCATTATTCCCTCAGTTCCACCTACCTACCATCAGCAGTTGCCTTGGGATGCTCGTTCGCAGCACCACATCGTCTTTTGCCATGTCAAACACCAGGCCAGGAATTGCATCCAGTAAGAAATCTCCCCAAGAGCTGACGGACAGGAAGAAACAAAAAAAAAATT